TCTTCTCTGAAACCTCTTATCCAGGCACCCACAGTTCAGATCACACTCAGCGCCACTGTCTTCCATGTTCTTATTAGTAAGGCCCATTAAACAGCACTTAAAGCATTAAGCTGCTTTTCTAATCCACAGTCCCAAGGTCCATATTTCTTCACCAAAACCATGGTCAGGCCTATCACAGCAATACCCCAGTCCCTGGTACCAGCTTCTGTCTTAGTCAGGTTTCTATTACTGTGAAGAGACACCATGACCATGACAACTCTTCTAAAGGAAACATTTAATTGGGGACTCTGACAGTTCAGAGGTTTCATCCATTATCATCATGGTGGGACATGGTGGTGAGCAGGCAGACATGATGCTGGAGAGGTGGCTGAGAGTGCTACATCTTGCATAAGCAACAGGAAGTGGTTTGTTTCACTGTGTGTAGCCTGAGCAAAGGAGACCTCAAAGCCCAACCCCATAGTGCACACTTCCTCCAACAAGGCCACACCTACTCCAACAAGGTTACATCTAATAGTGCCATTCCTTTGGGGGCCATTTTCTTCCAAACCAGCACAGGGTGTCACAGTCTTGAAGGTAGCACTGGGACCTAGAGAACAAGCAGAAAGTTGCAGCCATGTGCTTTTTCTAGCGGCCCTGGTCTAGCGTGGAAAGGCTGAGGGAAGAAACTGGTAATAGATTATAAGTGGACTGTGGTTTCCCAGTTGACATGACACCTCTGCAGAAATACTGTGCTTGGGATCTAGTGTAAGGTATGGTGCAGTCTTCAGTTCTTGCTGCTAGTCATTTTGAGGTGGTTATCAGTTGTGAGACAAGCAGGCACATGCTGCATCCATGATTGGTGCTGCCACCCAAATGGGCGTTCTGTCAATCTTGGGATAGGACATCTCTGGGCTGCCACCTTTACCCCTCCAACCACATGGCCATTGCCTGAGGTGCTAGGAGTTACAGAAAATACATCCCCGCTGCTGACATTGTCACTGACCTAGGGTACACTACCCAAACCACAGAACAGCAGACCATCCTGGTGGCTGTCACTGGAGAGTAGGAAGTGTTCTCAGAGAACCCCACTTGGGGTTTCCAGAAGGATTGTCCAGCAATGGCAGGGCAGGGGGCAAGAGGCAGTGAGCCATAGTCTGTGTCCAATGCTCCTGGGCACTTGGCCATCAACCAAGGACTCCTACAAATTCATAGGGTGCCAGATCTGCCTCCAAAATGGTAACTTCATACTTTTCCATCTCCACTGCCCCAAGTTATCCCTGGGCTATCCTTGAAGATCTCCTGTCTTGATGGACAATTAGGCTCATTCCTTCATCTCCCCAACTGAGGCAGTGATTCTATGGGATCATTGGAGTCCAGAGGGCAGAGCAATGTGCCAAGCTGCTACTCCACACCCCCTAGAAAATGCCCAGCCCACATGGTAGTGTCTTGCCCCAGTTCTGTTTAGCTGGATGGAGGACGGGTAGATTTGGAAGGTCATCCTGTTGCCCTAACTCTGGCACAATCCTTAGTCTCTGCCTCTAGTGAGGATCAGACATACTCAAAGCCCAGCATTGGTGGTGCATGTCTTTAGTCCCAGCACTCGGGAGGCAGAGGCAGGTGGATCTCTGTGAGTTCGAGGCCAGACTGGTCTACAGAGCTAGTTCCAGGACAGGTTCCCAAACAATACAGAGAAACCCTGCCTTGAAAAACAAAACAAACAAACAAACAAAAAAGTGCTCAGAACTCAGCCACCCTATACTGGGCAGCTGGGGCCCCATCAGGGCCTGCCTAATGCCCGACTTGACTAGCTACATTTGCATACCTGCCTACCTCCCCTGATTTTTCTAGTCGGCCTCAGAAGCCTCAGGTGCCTGTGGGTGGGAGTAGCCCTAGAAGGGCCTGGGGCCCTCATGCTCATGTCAAAGTCACCTCTGGAAGCCGGGGAGCCCTTCTTGGAGGCATAGAAACCACAGTCCCTTTGAACCTGCTGCTGTCCCATGCAGAAGTCATGCAGAGTTGGAGCTGGTGTCTCCTCATGATACTAGCTCAGCTGCACCCGGGCAAGGCCCTGTGTAATTATCTGTGACATGGTATACTTTCCCTTTCTATGTGAGGCTGCATCTATGTGAAGACAATAATTAGAGATAAATTCACAATTGGAAAATAAGCCCCAGCAAGTTAGAGGGCTGGGTAATGAGGAGTGATTGTGGCTTCCCGCCAGAAAGCCTCCTGTCCCCCAAGGCTGCAGACGGTAGAGCTCCTGAAGGCATTCTCCATACTCAGTGCAACAGGGAAGGCTCATAACCCAGACATGTAACCCCAAAAGACCCCCATGTGCCCCTGCTCCTGAGGCAGAACCCCATTTTCCCACATGGAACCAGGGGAAAAGTGGCCTCAAATGTCAGGGGATCTTTACCAAAGAGCAGCATTGCCGTGCTGGGCAAGGCAAGGTATGCAGGAATGTTCAGGGTACAGTGATGAGAAATGGGCTTCCTGTGCATAGCGGAAGCAGATGGAAGAAGGTGAAGGGAGGGGTCCAGGATGGCTCCCCTGCACCTTAGCCATATTGCATCTAGAGCTGCTTACTATGTCATTCATTCCTGAGCAGGGGTCATGATTTCTTACTCCCACAAAGCCTCTAGAGAAGGCTTGAGGCTCACGGGCACTTTGTTCTGGTGGCCATCCGTTCTCTTGGCTTTTGAAAATCAGCTAGGTAAATGCCCAGTCCCCCTCACCCCCAAGGTGGGACCTGATATACAGCTATGCTCAGCAGACTTTGGAAATCACACTGGATAGAGATAACAGCATTGTCTCTCTCTCTCTCTCTCTCTCTCTCTCTCTCTCTCTCTCTCTCTCTCTCTCTCTCTCTCTCTCTGGTTTTCCAAGACAGGGCTTCTCTGTGTAACTTTGTGTACCAGGCTGGCCTCTAACTCACAGAGATTCACCTGCCTCTGCCTCCCAAGTGCAGGGATTAAAGGTGTGCAACACCACTACCCGGCTAGCATTGTCTTCCTAATATTGCATGCCCACTCCAGTTTAGTACCATGTCATCCTAGTTCCTGAGGCAGGACAATATTTTTCTACATGCCTTTCATGGTGCCTGCTATCTGGCTGGAGAATGGGCTTGAGTGCTATGCGTGTGGGGTATGTGTGCACATCCATGTGATGGTGAGTACATGGGGTATACAGATGGGTAAGATGGGAATGTTCTGGTATATGGGCACATACATAGGAGGCTGAACGTATATGCCACCTGTTTGTGAGGGTGATTTGTAGGCATGTACATAGTATGTGAGTGGATATGCATAAGTACATTGTGGTGGTGGGGATAGGTGTATACACAGCCATATAAGAGTGAGTTTGCCTGTAGTGTGAACATAGGAGTGAGGAGATGAGGTATGTGCCATCTCTGCCAGGACCTAACATGTCCCATGAGGTCAGTTGGTGAGCATTTTATGGTATAGTCACACTGTTACTTAAATAGCTACTAGGTATGCTTGCTAGCTGCATTGTGATGACATATGGAACTCTTCCTGTTGAGACTCCAGTGTTCCCTGTTCCTCACTTGCTGAGACATACAGTCAGCTGAAAGACATATCTGCCTGGAATACATTACAGGATGCCTGCCATGTTCCTCCTACCTGCCAGCCCTGCCCTTATTCCATCCTTGGGCAGAACATGGCTTTTTGTCCTCTGAGATCCCCTGAGGGGACACATTGTTTCTGGGTCACTCTCATCTCTTGCTTTGCCCTGGTGGCCTTGTCCTTCCACAAGTGGGTCTTAAAGGTTTTCAGGAGCATTTCCTCCTGGATCAGGAGGCTTTTATTACTTGTCATACTGTCCTTACTCATTTCTCTTGTACCTATAATCTTTTTTTTTTTTTTTTTTTTTTTTTTGCAGAATGAATAGTTCTTAAGTACCTTCTGACCAAATGCAAATGGCTTCATGTCTTAGTGCCTTGGCCAGTGCCACAGCCAGTGTGATGACTGAATTATAGATAGCATCAGTCATCAGTTATCAGTTATCAGTACCCTTGTCCTCCTGGCTAGTTTTCTTTCTCCCCAATCTGAGCCGGAATCACAGGCATTCACGCTGATCAAAGACAGACAGCAGGAGGTACTAGAGCCTGTGCCAACCCTCAGAGAAGGTTTCCCTGGCTAAGGTGCCTCACCGTGACCACCTCCTAGCCTGGGCTCTCACATGGCAGCCGGGGTGTTTGCCCATCATGAAAACTCAGCTCTGCACTTGGATACCCAGGACCCCAGCTCCAAATGGGTTCTAAATCCACATCTCTGTTGTTACCTTACTCAAAACATGAACTATCTTTCTACACATTTATCTGCTTTGTGATTATTTTTGCCAATTTGTATAATATTGTCATGTGTATGTGCATAGATGTGCACATACATGCACATGTCTGTGTGCACAGTGTATGTGTTTTCTTATCAGTTTGCAAGAGCCCTTTGATTTGGTTGGGAAATAAATCTTTCGTGGAGAAGGGGGATAGCTAACTGCCCATATTAGAAATGCTTGCTCTAGCCCTACTCTGCCTTTTCACTGATTTTTCCGTGCACTGTTCTCATGTCCTGCTGTGGCTCATTCTGTTGGGACAGTATCTGGACACACTCTGAGTTGGAAAGACCAGTCGCTGCCCATGGCTGCTGATCTTGGTCTAGCTTTGCTTTCCACTAACCATCGTGGGTCCCAGAGAGGACCCCTGCTATCTCCTCCAGCCTGCCTAGCATCCGTATGTCTCATGAGGCTCTTCCATCTCTATGCACAAGCCTCAAGACAGGTAGACTCCTCCATGGAGACCTCAGGTTTCAGGAGGAATCTGGTTTTGGTGCAGCCACTTTTCCATGGAGCCCTTCTGATCAGTGAGCAAGGTGGTCAATGGCCAAGATCTGACAGGCTTGGGAATTGTAAGTCAGGATGCAGAGCTCCCAAGTTAGGATGTGATCCCTCTACCTAAGGTTGGGGTGATGTAATGCTGGAGCTAGAGTCTGACCTCTCTCCTACAGGCCTAGTGAAGCTGGGAATCCATTGTGTTACCTGCCAGAAGGTCGCCATCAAAATTGTCAACCGTGAGAAGCTCAGTGAGTCGGTGCTGATGAAGGTGAGGCAGAGGGCTGAGGTAGAAGGGTTATCACCTGGAGGGATGGACCTAGGTGTCTGGGACTAACACATGGGTGGCCTCTGTTCTACTCCTAACCCCAGTTGAACCCATAGGATCCTGCCCATTCCTGCTGGAGCAACAGTAGGTTAGCTCCTGGGCTAGTACAACATCAGGAAGGGTTCCACTTGACTATATTAGCCTGGACAACAGTCCCAAAGTGGACAATGATGGCACTGGGCTGACATGAGGCCCATCAGGTTGGGCCTCAGTTCTCTGATTAGAATGAGGAACTGCCCTTTGCCTCTGAGACCCCTCCTACCAGGACCAGGCTATCCTGAAGAAGGCTGGATAGGCTTTAGCTCCTGATGTGGAAAAGTTGAGTTGAGTGGGTGGCAGTTGTAAGAGAAGACAACAGCTTAGGTGGAGTGGAGGACTTCTGGCATTGGTGGGGTGAACTGGAGACACATTGGATGAATATATTCCATAGCACAGGGGCCCGAGATAAAAGGCAGAGTTTTGGTACTGTGGGCATTGTACACATGGAACCATATGGGAGTTAAAGGCTTTGGGGACAGAGAGGCTTATGAGAGGTGAGAGCCTACTAGTAGCTTCTCATTGTCATTGCCTGTGGGGCCAAGGTATCTGTGGGCAAAGCTATGCCCATCAGAGTTCTAGACTTAAGCTCAGAAACAGACCTGGAGGAGTCACTACTACAGGATCCACCTTCATTTCCAAGAATGGTAACAGCCTGGAGCCTGTAGAAGAGGGCTTGTGTTCTTACACCCTGAACTTGGGTGCCCATGCAGTTCTCTGTACACACAAGCAGTCCCCTACATGTACACAGTGCAGCAAGCACCCTCACCTGCAGCTCTGTCCTGGTCCCCACTGCCAGCTTATATAGAACCCCTGCCCAAGGCATTTGTCCTGGCATCTGCTCTTCCTTGGCCTCCTGGGATAGCAAAATCCAAGCTGCAGAGATCCCTTCTCCCCAGCTCAGCCCCAAAAGCAATGTCAAAATCCTGGGAGACAATGCATGTAGGCCACTAGAGGGTCTGTTTGAGGGTTGTGGTTGGCTGCAGGATAGTGACATGATTTCTCTGCAGGTGGAGCGAGAGATTGCCATCCTGAAGCTCATCGAGCATCCACATGTCCTGAAGCTGCATGACGTCTATGAAAACAAAAAATATTTGTAGGTATTGCTGGGCTTGGAGAGCTGGGGAGGCTGGGGTGGGTGGCTACAGAGGCCCAGGCTGCTCTTATGCTTGGAGAGCTGGCTGTGTCAGTGTTGCCATCCAGCTGAGGAGGGGCTCTCAGCCCTAGCCACAGTAGCCACAGTTTCATTACCAGACCTGTGGCTGGTGCTCCTGGGGGATCTCCAGGCTGTTAACTCGAGGCCAATAATGGGAAGGGCTTCCCTAGAGGAAGGTTTGGGTCTAGGGCCAGTAGAGCTTGTTCCTGCCTAATACTCCCCTACTGAATATCCCCTCTATGGAGATACATCTGTCTCCCAACTCCTACTGCCCCATAAGGCCCAGACTCAGTGAGACAGCCTGGGAAGAGAGTGGAGCTGTAGCTTGCCAGGGCCATTAGGAGGCTAGCGAGCAGGGCCATGAGTGAAGCAGATGGGGCACGGCATGGAGGGTGAGTCTGGCTGTTGTATTAGTTACTGTGACTAAATACCTGACAGGAAGCAGCTTGAGAGGAGAACATATTTTGGCCCTTTTGAGAGCTGAGAATGTGTAGTGGGAGAGGGGAGCAGTGAGCAGGGCATCAGCCTCCACAAACCTGAGGGCTGAGCATTTGATAGTCCTGGACCTCTATGATGGTCAGGAGTGAACTGGGGGTGGGAGGCTCTGCTGAGGCAGTGCTGAGCCTCTACCACTGTGTCCCCAAATGCTGGTCCCAGTGTGGCTCCTCTGTAGGATGTGCTTGGTTCCCTAACTCCTACTAAATCCCACAGGGCTTGGGACTCCAAGTCAGCTGACTACCGTCAGCAGGTCCCCAGCCCAGCCTGGATTCCTGTCCAGGACCACTGAACCCTGTCACCAAGTAAGATGGCTCCCATCTACATCACTAACTGCCCTTTGTTCCCTCCCTTGGAGATCTTGCCTTCCCCAAGGGGTTGTTCAGTCTGAGCCCATCAGACTGCATCCCCTGCATCTCTTTGGTCACTTCTTGAGATTCTAGGGGACTGAGACATAATCCTCCAGTTACCCACACCCTCCCCTCCCCCAAGAAACCAGTCCCCTCTGGTTCTGCATTATAGTAATGACCTCAGGGACTAATACAAACTGGGCAGAGGAGATGGCAGGCCCTGCAGGGTCGGCCTCACTCCATTTTGTGGTTTCCACACCTGATCCTCTTTGCCCAGCTACAGGGAGGCTGTAAGATCTTTCTGGGCCCCAGCTGCCTGGTGTGAGAGCCACCAGGAGCCATAGCAGGTATCCTACATAGGCCCTCATTGGGGCCTTGCTCTGGGCCCTGAACCAGGCTTCTCTAACTAGGCAGCAGGAGAGTAGGCAGGGGCTATGTGCCAGGCCACAATTGCTGGCACTAATGGTCCTTTGCCCCATTCCACAGATACCTGGTGCTAGAACACGTGTCTGGGGGGGAGCTGTTTGACTACCTGGTGAAGAAGGGACGGCTGACCCCCAAGGAGGCCCGCAAGTTCTTCCGGCAGATCATCTCTGCATTGGACTTCTGCCACAGCCACTCCATATGGTGCGAGCCAGGCCAGGCTGGGTCAGGCCTACATCTCAAGAGGGCAGTAGGGTTCCTTTGGGTTTCATATAGTAGATATTGAAAGGCTGCCCAGCGCCCACCCAGGTTTCATCCCTATGGAGGGCAGGAGGACACCTCATCCCTGTCACCCAGGCCAGGAAGACCACTTAGAGTTAGCTGCCAGCATATTATCTAGCTAGCTTGTCACTGGCCTGTCCCACTAACAGGAGTTTGGAAAGGGGAGCAATCTCTACCAAGGAGTTGCAGTGGGGAAGTGGATGCAGGGCTGCATTTAGGCTCACCTGGGTCTTACTCCCCAGCCATAGAGACTTGAAGCCAGAGAACCTGTTGCTGGATGAGAGGAACAACATCCGTATTGCAGACTTTGGCATGGCATCCCTGCAGGTGGGAGACAGCCTGCTGGAGACGAGCTGCGGGTGAGTGAGTGGTGATCCCACAGGCCCAGGATATAACCCTGGGGGCAGACACCACAGCCATTGCTGCCCAGCATGGACAAGCTTTGAAATTGCCTTATGGCTGAAGAGCTATAGAACGTTTTGGTGGGAAGCCCAAGGCCTTTCTCTCACAGCACGAAAGCTGGACTGAGGGTAGAAGGCAGGACCCCTGTCCTTATAGTAGGCATGTGGGGCCCTTTGTCTGGCACCAGCATCTTAGTTTGGTGGTGGAACCTGGGAGAACATTTCATTGGGCCTTCTCTCCTGAGTCTGGATAGATAGGCAGGCAAGCCTGAGCACAGCAGTCCCCAGGCTCCAGACCTTCATCTCCTACCAGAGCATCCAGGGTATTTAGGTTGGGGAGACTTGGTGTCAGAGCCATTCGTCCTCCTGGGGCCAGCCCAGTCATGGCCTGTGGACCTCACATACAGGCTTCCTAGGGCAGGGCTCATGTGGAGAAATCCGCAGGGAGGGTGTAAAGATCTGGGCTGTGCTCCCTGGCCTCCTGGCCCCTGACCTGCTCTTTTGCCCTTAGATCCCCACACTATGCCTGTCCGGAAGTGATTCGGGTAAGCAGCCTCCTGGGTCCCTGTGGTGGAAGGGCCCCTTCCTTATCCTGTTACTAGCTGGGCTAGTCTCAGCTCAGCTGCCTTCCCTCAGACCCACTCCCCCACTAGATACCCCCACCCTGCATACTGCCAATGCCTGGCATTGCCCTCCTCCCACAGGGCGAGAAGTATGATGGCCGCAAGGCAGATGTGTGGAGCTGTGGTGTGATCCTGTTCGCCTTGCTGGTGGTGAGCCCCACCCACCTCACCTTCTTGTTCCACTCCCACCCTGCTCCCCACATCCTCTCTCCCTTCCCTCCTCTTATGCTACCTACCCATGATGAATGCTGTCCTGTTGTCCTGCTTACCCACAGGGGGCTCTGCCTTTTGATGATGACAACCTACGGCAGTTGCTGGAGAAGGTCAAGCGTGGTGTGTTCCACATGCCACACTTTATCCCGCCAGACTGCCAGAGTCTCCTGCGTGGCATGATTGAGGTGGATGCAGCTCGGCGCCTCACGGTGCGTCCTGCCTACCCCTCTGCCCTAGCCAGAACTTGGGTGCCCATGGGGAGTCAGGCCCTTCTGCATTCCTGTTGTCCCTTCTTCACACCATCTCTTGGACCTGTCCCTTCCTCAGAAAGCCCTATACCAGTGGGGCCAAGCTTCTATCTCTAGCACTTGCTCCTGGGCATGTTAGGGAGAAAATGTCTCTGGGAGTGGGGCTTCCCACCTGTGCCTGTTTGTGTGTTGCAAGTATACCACATGCACAGAGATGTGAGTCTGTGTCATGCCAGGTGGATGTGTTCAAGTGTGGATCCATGTTTGCTAGCGTGTATGCCCGGGTATGTGTGGCGAGAGTGTGTACCCAGTTGTGTGTGAGACTGCATACAGCTACACATAGGTTGAGTGCCCATGTGTGTGTTATGTATACATATATTTATGTAGATCTAGGTGTGCATTGGGAGCGGGGGCTATAACCAGCTGCTGTGGGGGAGACTGTATGCCCAGTTGTGTGTGAGACTGCATACAGCTACACATAGGTTGAGTGCCCATGTGTGTGTTATGTATACATATATTTATGTAGATCTAGGTGTGCATTGGGAGCGGGGGCTATAACCAGCTGCTGTGGGGGAGACTGTATGCCCAGTTGTGTGTGGTGTGAGTCCTCAGGTATGTGTCACCTATACACGGCAGTATGTGGGTGTAGATGTGCATAGGTGTGTGCATGTGGCTGATCCTAGCTGCAATGTAAGGTGAGTGCCTGTGTGTATTATCTGTACATAGCTATGTGTGCACCTACGTGCGATGGGGGCCTGTGCCCAAATCTTAGGGGCTCATATATGGTAGATGGCAGGCCTGAGCAGGTGAGTGGTTTTTCGGGTGAGCCCCATAGTCTGTTCCCCTTCACTGCCATCCTGATCCTCTGACATCCTTGTGGAATGCCTCCTGACAATGTGAGCTCCACAGCGCCATCAGCTGGGCAAAGGCTTGAGCAAAGCCCCAGCACTTGGTTTTGAGCTGCATAGTATCTGCCCATGTAAAGGAAGCAAGACGCCCAGTGGGTTGGCCTTTTCTAGAAGAGATATCATCGGCCCCCTCCCACAAAGGAAGTTATAGGTGTAGTGGGCTACCTCAGCCTCCTGCCCGCACCTGCACCCAGCCCCTCCCAGCCGCCTGGCTTTGCCTCCTGGACTGGTTCCTCATTCATACCCTCTGATCTGGGAGGGCCCAACCAGGCAGGACAGGTGTCCCAGGGTGCTGCTCGCTTCCTTGCCTCTCTTCTCCATGGACCCCTGTCCCCCAGTCTCTCCTTCCCTGGCTTCATTTCCTCTGCATATGGGGTGGGGCAGGGATAGGGGTGCTGGCCTGGGCCTCTGGGAATGCGGCCCCTGCCCTGCCTTCTCCTATTCTCCCGCTCTGGCCCCCTACCTCCTAACGTGGGCTCCCCCTGGTACTAACCCCCTGTTTCTCTTTCCTTGTAGCTAGAGCACATTCAGAAACACATATGGTATATGTAAGTAGCTTCTATGCCCACTAACGCCTGCTTTGCCTGTTGCTGTGGTCTGCAGGGCCTGCTAGGAAGGGGGGGAGGGTGCCAGCCAGCTCGGGGCTGCCCTAGCCTCACTCTCCACCTCCCTGAGCGGCTGTTGCAGGATACAGGAGGTCTGCAGGGCTGGGTGCAGGGACAGCAGCAGGACTTGGGCTCACTTGAGGGTGGACTTCGCACCTTCCTGGCCACCTCAGGGTGGGTGGAATGGTTTCAGGATGGGCCAGAAATGAGTGACTGCTGCTGGATGCCCTGTCGTCCACAGAGGTGGCAAGAACGAGCCAGAGCCAGAACAGCCCATCCCACGCAAGGTTCAGATCCGCTCACTGCCCAGCCTGGAAGACATTGACCCTGATGTGCTGGATAGTATGCATTCACTGGGCTGCTTCCGAGACCGCAACAAGCTGCTGCAGGACCTGCTATCTGAGGAGTATGTTGGAGTTGGGGTGGGGCTGGTTTAGTCACTTGGCTCCAATCACCAAGCTCTAGCTGCTGTAGGGAGCATCCTTGTTGCCCCCTGTGGATTCTCCAAAGCCAGAGTCCCTGCAGGGCCACTGTCAGGTACTTGATGTCACTATATGCCCACCCTCTTGGCACCTCTCATCTGCTACAGGGAGAATCAGGAAAAGATGATCTATTTCCTCCTCCTGGACCGGAAAGAACGGTATCCCAGCCATGAGGATGAGGACCTGCCACCTAGGAATGAGATAGGTACAAAGCTTCCAGCTCACCCTGTGCCCCCTATTCCTGGCTTTGGCCCAGCCTGACCCCAGTCTGCATACAGACCCTCCCCGGAAGCGTGTGGACTCCCCGATGCTGAACCGGCATGGCAAGCGGCGACCTGAGCGCAAGTCCATGGAGGTGCTCAGTGTGACAGATGGTGGTTCCCCGGTGCCTGCACGGAGAGCCATTGAGATGGCCCAGCACGGCCAGAGGTTTGTGCCTGCCCTGGGGGCCCAAGCCTCCCTCCTGTTGCCTTGGCCAGGGCAGCATCAGGTTCTTAGCCCACTACCCTTAGTCTGGCCTTGCTTGTCTTTGCCCACTGTCCCTGGGATCTGGACTGAGGCCACTAGACTGGGCTGAGTTCACTGTGCTAAGCATGCTGGCTGGCTGCATGAGCTGAGCTGGGCTGCCCTGGACTGAGCTGACTAAGCTGGGCTGGGCTGGACTGGACTAGGTTAGGCTGAGCTGGACTGGACTCAACTGACCTGGGGTGGTCTGGACTGGACTCAGTTGGGCTGGGCTGAGATGGGCTGGACTGTTTTGAAATAGACTGGGGTGAGCAGGAGTGGACTAGACTGAACTATGATGGCCTGGACTAAGCTAGGCTGGGATAGATTGAACTAGTCTGGTCTGGTCTGAGCTGGGCTGTCCTATACCAAACTGGACTGGCTGAGCTGATCTGGGCTGAGCTATGCTAGACTGGAATGAACTGGTCTGTTCTGAGTCGACCTGGACTGAGCTGGTCTGGCTTGTACTAAGCTGGGTAGTCCTGGGCTGGGTTGAGTTGAGCGTGACTGAACTAGACTGGACTGGACTAAACTGAAGTAGGCTGAACTAAGCTGGGTGTTCTTGTTTGAGCTGGGCTGTGATATTGTGCAGCTATGTTCAGAGCCCCTTGCTCAGCAGGCTTGTCCCTCCCTGGTGCTTGGCTGTCTCTCATCTGTATTGAGCTGGGCTGTGGTGTGGTAGAACTTTGTTCAGAGCCCCTTGCCTAGCAGGCTTGTCCTTCTCTAGTGGCCAGTAGCACTATTGTGGGTAGGATGTACAGTTCAGGAGAGCGATGAATAGAAGGGCACTTAAAGTCTGCAAAGTCTGTCCTGGCTGAGTGGAGTTCCCTAACAACCAGGGGTTTGGGTCATCTGTGAACAGACCTGGAGCTGGGAGATCCCACAGGCCCTGCCAGCAGAGGTCAGCATTGTACTCTGCACACAGCACCCACTGCTCATTGTTCTTGCTGGGAGCTTGAGTGCTGAAGTGTGCCAGGTCTGCCTCTGAATTTGTTAGGAACTGGGAGCCCTGAGGTGGCTAGGTAGGTAGTCATCAATATAGCACTTCCTCTGCCTCGACTCTAGAGTGCTGGCATTCCTGCCCCACTAGGATCTGGGCTGACTCATGCTCCAGCCTCAAAGTTTCAGTCCTTGAGGAACTTCTTTTAGCTTTCCAGCCAGCCATGACCCATAGTCCCTTGGCTTCTGGCAACACGGCGGGACAGCCAGGGTCCCTCTTGGCCATGTTCTTATATAGCCCTTCTCTGGAATTCTGCCTCTTGCGGATATGCTTCACCTCATCAGGACTCTCCCAGTAGCTCTAGTGCATACCATCTACTCAAGAGATAGTTGCACCTCCCTGGCCTCCCTTGAACCCCAAAGGGTAGCTGGGGGCCAGTGCTCAGCCCTTCCAGCATCTGAAGCCTGAGTGAGCTTCCCTGGCTTCTAATACACCTTCTAGGCCTAGGTGCTACAGGATGAGCCCATCAGTGGGTGTGGCTATCTCCAAGGGAATCTGGAAGGCCCTTTGCCCTGGCACATGTAGCCTGCTTCTGCTCTGGTTTAGTCACTTGACCCTAGGCTCTGATGGGACCACTGGTTGGGAAAAGGGATCCTGTGGCTGGTGGTGAGTCTAGACACCTCTAAGCTTGGCTGCCTCCCTACCCAGAAGGTCACCCAGGGCAGGCTGTGCTGTGGCTCCTTTCCCCTTCCTCTCTCTTCATCTCCATACATTGGCCTGGGGTTGGCGGGCCATGCTTGGAGGGCTTGCTCGGTGTGGCCAGGCAGCATATAGCCCAGCAGCTGACCTGCGTGCCTGTGGCCAGGGCAGTAACTCTGTTTTCTCACTTTGTTCCTGCTATAGTAAAGCAGTGTTCAGTAAAAGCCTGGATATCGCTGAAGCCCATCCCCAATTCAGCAAAGAAGACAGGTATACATACACCCTGCCCATCCATCCCGTCCTCCCAGCCCCAGATGCAGGACTCCTGCCTGAGCCAGGCAGACAGAGGCGGGCCTGGAGGCAGGGCTTACTGACAGACAATTTCCACCTCTCCTTTCTGGGAATGGAACCAACCATCCAGCAGGTCAGGGGAGGGGCCTGGCCAGCTGTGAGGAGGCAAGGATAGGTGGGGTTGCTGGGGCAAGGCCCATGGCCAGCCCAAGGCAAGGGGCCACATAATCCAGGTTTGCATAGGACCAGGACAGGGGCACGACCCTGCACCCTGAACAGACCTGCCTTATGGTAATAGGCCTACCACTCCTGCCTCTCTTTTCTCCAGGTGTCCTTGGGTACTATTCCTCCAAGAGCTGGCCAGTTTAGATTAAGTGGCTAAGTGTCCCATGCCCTGGCAGGTGACAGCAGGCCAGTAACATCTGATGCCCACTTATGCTGCTGATTAGCTGGGCCACATCCTGTTGAGCAACAATACACTGGCCCTGTACCTGCCTGTGCCCCCTCCTGCTTGCCTCTTGCCCACTTGGCTGTCCTCAGGGCTGGGGTCATCTTTCCTACTTTGGACAAACTGCAGCTCAACTCCAGCATTGCTGGATCAAGGAGAGGTTGATATGGATCCCATGCTTACATCTTAGCTTCCCTTCTTCTTCCCTTGTGCCCAGCAGTGTGCTCCTATCCGGCATGGTGGGTTCAAAGGTCTCGGCCTCACTGCTCGTGGCTGCATCCCCTCTCCCGTCTCCCAGTATGACCATCTCCATCTTCTCAGGGCCTGACTCCTAGCTGTACACCTGGACCTTTGTCCCAGTGGGGAGCCCCGGTACCACTTTGACCCAGGCATGCTGCCCTGACCATGAGTCCCCATTGTTTCTTGGGCTCCTTAAGGGTGGAGAGACTTGGAGGTCATGGACACAGGGCTCTGGTCACAGGTGGTCTAGGAGCTGGCAAGGAACCATTAGAGATTGGAGTTGCCCAGGTAGGAACCAGAGGCCCTCGGTGTATGGCCTGGCTCGCGCTGGGCAGGCCAAGGTAGTGCAAGCTGGTCTAGTGCTCTTCTGTCCTCTTTTCTCCTGTGTTTGCACCCCACCCCCACTTTTCCCTCCAAATGTGGCAGGTTCCACTGCCAAAGGTGAACCGTGCTTTTGTGTTCTTTCATGGTGAGCTGAATGGAAGGCCTGGTCTCTGGCCTGCAGGGCAGCTGTTCACCCATGTTGCAATGAACACACACAGCTAGCACCTGCCCCTAGCTATTTGCAGGCTAGATCTTCAGTCTGGTGGGGTAATAGTGGGTTAAGATGAAAGTTGTGGGATGGCCCTGGGCTTCTCTTAAAGATAGCCATGGATGTGAAAGGACTGGGCATCTGCCCAGGTAGTAAACCACATACTGGACATTGTACAGTACAGCTTTGGAGAGGCTGGATTTGGATACCAGGGTCATAGAATGTACACAGCTGTGTCTAGTTCATGAGAATCCTCCATTGCATGTCCTTGCACCTCTGTCCACAGTGTCTGTGGACTTTTGGTGAGAGTCCCTTAGTACCTTTTCCTGTGCCTGGTCTGGGCTCACTGGTGGGTGGCTCATCTGAGTGGAGAGGAGCCCCAGGAACCTTGGCTGCATAATGATGGTGAGTGCCAAGGTCAGCAGGATGATCCCTGACACAGCTGTGCCTCTAGAGACCCTCCGGGGCATGGTAGGAGCTTTGGAGCTCTGGGCCAGGACCCCAGGCCTCCTGAAAAGGCCACCTAGGGGACAGGAGCTAGAAGCCATCTCCTGCTGAATCAACACTCTGTTTTGACCCCCCCAGGTCTCGATCCATCAGTGGCGCCTCCTCAGGCCTTTCTACAAGTCCACTCAGCAGTCCTCGGGTGAGTGACTACCCCACCTAAGCCCTAAGATTACAGGGAAATAAAAAGGAACCCCAACCGAAGTGCCCGGGGGTGGGGAACAGGGCCTCCACAGACCGGGAAGAAGCCCCCTCCCTGCCTTGCACACAGGCCTCCTTTGCGGGCACCCTCCTGGCTGCTGCTCTGATGCTGGGCTCTGGCTAACTGCATGTTCTTTTGTTTTGTGTTGTCCGTTTTCTCGTGTGTCACTTGTTTTCTTTTGTGGCAAACCCTTCCCTCGCCTGCCCCCTCCCTCTGGTCCTGCTTGGGGTCCTGCTTGAATGATTTTGCTGATCCTGGCTGCTATGTGTGCATGTGGGTGGGATGGGCATGAGCTCCACTTTGTGGTCACCCCTCCTGCCCCTACTCTGCGCCACTGTAGCCTGTTAGGAAGTTTGTCCTGCCTCCTCTGCCCCCTGAGCTTCCCTATGTGGCCTGCCCCCCGGCCACCTCCTCGGAGCCGGAAGCTTGTCGGAGCGCCTCTCGGCCTGGATACATCCTCTCTCCGCAGGCCGCCCTGCGGCCCAACCCCAAGACTCAGACCTTGCCGTGCAAGGCCAAGCTGACTGACAAGCCGCTGCAGGGCACCAAGTCCAATCCGCTCCCGGCCTGCACCCAGACCCGGCCTCCTGGAGCCAGCCTTGGCCCTCCACTGGCCCTGTCCCCTGGGCCCCCCACCCTGCTGGCCCCTGCTCAGCTCCTGCCAACTGGGACTGAATCAAACACCAAATCTGTCCCCACCATACAGGTGACCCCTCACCCCTCACCAAGGGGTAGTCCCCTTCCTACCCCCAAAGGGACGCCTGTCCACACGCCAAAGGAGAGCCCAGCTGGCACACCCAATCCCACACCACCATCCAGTCCTAGTGTTGGAGGGGTGCCCTGGCGGACACGGCTCAATTCCATCAAGAACAGCTTCCTGGGCTCACCTCGCTTCCACCGCCGGAAACTGCAAGGTTAGCACAGATGTGAGACTGGGTAGGTGGTGGAATCTGATTAGGGGTGGGGGGAAGGGAGTTTCTGCACTGCTGAGATAGAATGTTCCTACAGCTGGCAGGTCTGTGGGCCTCTCTACAAGTCTCTGAGTCTGCCCTGTACCCTCTCTTGTCCCAGGCCCCATTCTATCATCTTCTAAGCAGCAGCTATGATTAGTGAGGCCTGTTGGCTGGTCAGGAAGCCTACAGGTCCTGGCCTGTGCTGAGGCACAATGAGGTTTCAGCACCAGAGCATGGACAGCGCACTAGGCAGGGGGCAAAATGGGCACAACCTACATCACTAACCGACCTTGCCCTTGTCCTTTCCCATGCACAGTTCCCACGCCAGAGGAGATGTCCAACCTGACCCCAGAGTCCTCTCCAGAGTAAGTGGCTGTGCTTGAGGCTGGTGAGAGAGGGACCTAGATCTTTCCCACTGGACATGGTTAACCACCTGAGGGCTTTTGGTCCCTGACCTAAAACTCTTGGACCTGATTTAGCCAATGAGTGTTTATGAACTTTAGGTCCTGTCCACATGAGAATACCAGTAGTGGGACATGTCTTAACCCTGCTCAGAGGAATATGAAGTTGGCTAGGGGCAAGTGATTGTGCCCTGGGCTTCCCAGGAGTCTAAGGGACCATAGGGATGCTTTGGACATAAGCAGAAATGGGATTGTGCTGAGGACAAAGGACAGCTACAAGATACAGGGCCCAGGTAGGGCACCAGTAGCCTGGTTGGCCTGTGATGCTTGTGGGGGAGGGGAAGTTGGCAGAGGCCTGGGGCAGAGTACCTCTGGCCTTGAGCTGAAGGAAAAGGAATATAGGTGGGCCCAGTGTTGCCACCCTACAAATGCTAAATGCCTGCATAGTGTGGCTTCGTTGTATATTTCACAGGAGCCTTTCAGTAGTTACTCGTAGCTGCTGGTGTGAAAGAAAGAAAATGTCGTATGACTGACGTGGGGGGAAGCATGGCACAGATCATATTAGCTATGCGACCTCACATAATGGCCAGATAAGAGGAAAGGCCTCCATTGTGTTTCCAGCACTCAGTACGGACCCGTGGGCGGTTGCTTGCTCTGTGCTAACCCACTGGGAGCAGCATCTGTGGAGGTGTTTGCTGCACAGCCTTTTTGTCCAAGTGGGAGTCAAAGGCTGAAGCTCACCATAACTGTTCTGAGGCTCTGGAAGCACAGGACCATATTTGCCTAGGTTATGCCTTTATGTTGGTCTGATCAAAGGTTTTGGAGATCTACTAGAAACATTTTTTTTTAAGTAAAGTAGAAAATCTCTGACAATAGCTTAAGGCCAGTGAGAAGGCCTTACACCACCTCCTCCTTGATCAAGACCCTTTGGACGCTCCCTCATCCCTGGCCCTGCACAGTGGCCCAGAAGTCTTTAGCACCCTCATCTTCTGTCAACAGCCAGCCCCTCACTGGCCATAGCCTCCACAGAACTATAACCAGGAGAGGAGAAGTATCTCAGAAACTGCCTCCCTTGGTCTCCCATGATGTTGGGCTGTCTGGCTAGAAGCCATGAGAGCTCCAGCAGTCTATAGAACTCACTCCTCCAGAGCCTTTCTCTCTAGTGCCTTCAGCTACTTGGCTAGGGCCCACAAAGCCAAACAGTTTTGCTCACAGGTCTAGGCCCTTCTGTCATGTACTATTATGGACCTCACCCAGAATTCTGTGTGTACAGGCTAGCACCAGGGTCGAGCAAATATGGACACCAGAGTTCTATTATGGACTGTGTCACCTGTGCCATGCAATCCCCTCTGATCCTCTGGCTTCTTTCAGACATGGCCATGTCTCACATGCTATACCACCCAAGTATTACTGCTTACTTCTGTGACGTTCAGCCAGAAACTTTATTTGTGTTTTCTAGAACTAGTTGGCTGCTCTGAAATATCCTGAGCATTGCAGGTCTCTAGGCCCAAGAATGGGCCTTGGGTACAGGTGGGGGCAGTGGCCTACATGAGGGGCATATACCCACAGGACTGGATAGAGCTGAAGCACAGAGGGGCTGCAGGTCTGTGTCTCCACAGAGGCAAAGGAACCGTCCCAGAAATGAACAAGAAGGGGGAAGTCACACAGCCAGGAGAACCTACACTTACCCTAAGCTAGCAGAGTCTTGGTGCTGTCCAGCTGTTCATGCTGGCTACATGCTAGCCCTATCCCTGAACACCAGTGTGCTTCTGTGGCCATTCCCCCAGTTTCTAGCTCCTCTGAGTCACTGGTGCAGGGATACGTCTGACTGGGGTGCTGACTGTGCCCCCTCTGCAGCTACAGTAGGCAGCGGGAAGTCTGCCTGGCCATGTTGACTGGGAGTTGCCATGAGACAGCCTGCAGCGCAGCTCCCCTCACCCTCACCCTCACCCCCAGGACCTATGGAACAGGCATCCAGCAATGATTTGACTGGACATTCTGCTTTCTGGTCTCAAGGCTGCCGGCCAGGTGTCATTGAGCTGCGGTTGTCCCCAGGACTGGGAAAGAATCTCTTCCAATTGTCCATGAGTCAGGGTCTCTGTAGCTGTTGGTGGAAAGCCAGTCAGTAAGGTGGCAAGAACTTCAGCTGTGCACATGATTAGTTTGTGGGACCCCGCAAGTGGGACTGGGAAGCTTGACATTTGCCTTCCATCCCCTGGACTGGCATTTCCAGCCCCGGAAGCTGAAGTATAAAAGATTATACTTAAGAGTAATGCATTCACTTAGGAGATGGTGTATGCAGTGAGGAGTGCCCCAGTAGGGCTGGGGTTGTACTGATCTATCCTGGCCAGCCAGCTGAGGCCAGTTGGACAGTAGTGGAGTAGTAGCCAAGCACTATGTCAAGCTATCATGGGAAGAAAACAGGTCCTGTAGTCATGTGGGCAATGTGTGCCAGACCTGCATGAGGCTCTGGCTGTGGGATATGGGCAGGCCCTTCCCGAACTGATCCTGCCAGGGTTCTTACTCTACAAGCTGAGGTGTGGAGCCACATAATCTTTACCTGGCCCAAGAGAGCCCTACCAGACTCTAGTATGCACCAGCTTGCAGTAGACTGGGAACATATTTGGCAGAAAGTTGGAGAACAGGCTTCTCCAAACATTCAGGGGCCCAAGTAGAGGGTTGAGATAGACACTCTCCTGTTCCCTGCTCTGCCCACTGGAATGCCTAGCAAGAACCACTCAGACACCTCTGTCAAGGACTTGTGGTAGGGATAAAATTTGTAATTAAGGACACAGGATTAGGGTTAGGGTTATAGGGTGAAAGTTGGGACAACAATATGGGGTCTGGGTTAGTGAAATGTGGTTCAGGCTGGGGATGTAGGTTTAAGTTAATGGATGATAGGCTAAGGTTAGGGGTTATGGTTAGGGAAGTTTGATTATGATTAAGGATTTTGGTTTATTGCTATGGTAAAAGTTATTTTTAGGTTTTGTTTTGTTTGTGGTGTAAGTTTAGAGTTGGGGGTTGCCCTTGGTGTTGGATTGTGGAGTTAGGGGGAGTGGGTATGGTCAAGCTGGCATTAGGGTCACAGGGCTGGTATTGGTTGTTGGGAGTCCCTGTACTGCTCTGCAGGGAGGGCTCCACTGCTCCAGTCCTATAGAGGTTACAGGAGCAGACCAGGCACCACACTCCCATCATCACAGCCTCTGCTCTGCCTAGGCTGGCCAAGAAATCGTGGTTTGGGAACTTCATCAACCTGGAGAAGGAGGAGCAGATCTTTGTGGTGATCAAGGACAAGCCCCTGAGCTCCATCAAGGCTGACATCGTTCATGCCTTCCTGTCGGTGAGGTTACGGCAGAGCCAGGAGGACACCCTCACCCATGGGCCCAGCCTCCAGGCAGACCACAGGACCTCTCATTCCCACTAACTCTGGACACCCACATGTCCTTATGTTCTTCTGCCTGGACCACCATTGTCTACCTAGGCCTTCATCCTGCTGGGAGCTGGACACACCTCTGGGAGGGGGGAGCTGTCTATGGCTGGTGTGTGCTGGTCTTCAGGTGAAACCTCCCTGAGATTGAGGGAGAAACACGGGTGGTCACACGAAACAAAAGAGGCCATGATCCTGAGGGAAGTTCTGATGACACCTAGTTAACATCATGAGGCCCACAGTTTGTTTCCCATACTACTTATTTATTTGAAGTCTGTGACTCTCCTGCAGCCCCTAACCTTCCTGAAGAGACTGAGCTTCTCAGAGAACATGGGGCATCTCTAGATATGGAGAAGCAAAAAAATCACATAAAGACTGGAAATGAGACTTTCCAGCCAGGATATGAACTCTGCCTTGGAGTCTTTCAAGCTACCATATCTGGCTACAGTTGAAGGATTTCCTTGGTTCCCTGGGGGACAGCTGAGAATGTCTGACAGAGGCCTCAAACCAGGGAAGGCCATTCCCAACAGAGGGGTCATACTTGAGGTTGGCCAGACTCTTGGCCTGCTGTGTCTCCTTGGCACTCCTACACTTTAACCTGAGCCCGTCTCTTTCATACCTCCATCCATTACATCCCTTCACAAGGCCCCTGGGTCATCAGGCCAACTTGGAGCCCCCAACTACTTCCCCATGGTGGCTAGTCCTGTATACTGGGGTATTGGGGTGACCCTGTCAGTTTTCTGGTTTTACTCTTGCTGCTGTCAAGTTCATGTGACCAGCCCTTGGTGCTATGGACTCACACACAGCCTCTTATATTCACAGAAAGCTTATAGCTTTCCTTGGTCACTACTCAATGCTCCTCTATTACTGCCCCTGACTTGGGATTGTAAAGCCATCTGGCCCCTTCCAGTTTAGGGTTCTCTGTAGAAGACCCAGGGTAGTGGCCAGTGTGCACCCTGGCTGGCTGAGCAAGGGGGCTCTGAACTGTGCTTCCCTGTTAGTCTTCCATGTTATACTTGGTTCTCAACACTGGAGATTGATTGGAGGGCTAGGGTTGTGTTTGGTGCCCACATAGTGCTGGCTCTTGTGAGGTTATCTCCCCAGAAGTCCAAGAGTGAACTAGTGAGGCCTGCAGGTAGGCTGCGCTCATGTCCAACCTGTGCACACTGCAGATACCAAGCCTCAGCCACAGCGTTATCTCCCAGACAAGCTTCCGCGCTGAATACAAGGCAACAGGGGGCCCGGCAGTGTTCCAGAAGCCAGTCAAGTTCCAAGTGGACATCACCTACACCGAGGGTGGAGAGGCCCAGAAGGAGAATGGTATCTACTCAGTCACATTCACTTTGCTCTCAGGTAAGCCAGCTGACTTAGTGGTTGCGTTTCACCCTCACTGGTCCTGCCAGTGCCCTGACTGCCAGTCTTCTCCCAGGCCCCAGTCGCCGCTTCAAGAGGGTTGTGGAGACCATCCAGGCCCAGCTGCTGAGCACCCATGACCAGCCATCAGCCCAGCACCTGTCAGGTGAGATGGGAGCTTGGCATAGCATCTGTGGCTAGTGCTGCTTGGATGGGAGGTATGAGGACTTACATGGCCTCCTACTCTGACGGATGCCCACCTCCCTGCCCTGAGCAGTGCTGCACCCCTCAGGGAGCAGGGCCCCTTCCCGGGCATGGTGGGCTGCATCACACTGAAAGGCGCCTCTTGTCCACCGTAGAACCACCCCCGCCAGCGCCAGGACTAAGCTGGGGTGCTGGGCTTAAGGGCCAGAAGGTGGCCACCAGCTACGAGAGTAGCCTCTGACGCTGGCAGGTAAGGTGTCCGGCCTGCTGCCGGGGAGGGGAGGGGCTGCGGGCAGGGCCTCCTGCAAGAGCCAGGCTTGCCCTAAGAGGGGCGCCCTGTGGCCACTCTCCTGGCCTGGTTCTGGACAGGCCTGCAGGCTCAGCACCCAGGCAGCTGGACATGAGGGCAGCCTGAGCAGGCTCTGAGAGTAGGTCCCAAGGCCTTGATCTTTGGGGATCCCCTGTGTAGCACCCTACAATGGCTGGTACTTGCCACCCCCATGCCACTGACCACCAGAGCTCTGCCTTAAACAGGATGGAGTCTGAGGCTCTGGTCCTAGCAGGGTGTGGGAGGAGGTAGTATCTGTGTGTCTGTCTGGCCCTATGCATAGGCATACACATGGGACCTATGTGTCAGAATAATAGCTAGGATATAGCCTGGGCTATCTTTTGGCAAAGGGACAGGCATGGGGCTACTTAGACACTCTTGAGAAGTATAGAAGTGATGGGATGTGGCTTAGGGCCAGCTCTCTGAGCCCTACTCTCAGCTTATTGTCTGAACAGCTGGGGCCTGCTAGAGTCACTGTGTGTGTGTGTGTGTGTGTGTGTGTGTGTGTGTGTGTGTGTGTGTGTGTGTTCTTTCCACCTGTTTCTCATCTCATCCCACCCTCATTCCATCGCCTGTAGATGTGCTCCCAACATGGGCCTTATCTCCTGGCAGGTGGGGCTGGAGCCCCCACAGCAGCCCCGGGGTCATTCAGCCTTCCACTCTTCTCGAGCAGGCAGGGCCAGATGTTCCTGTGGGCACTTGTACTTCAGTCAATCTTATCTCTCTGGGGCTTTAGATCCCCATCTTGGAAAGAAGAAAATAGGCTGGGAATAGCAACAGTAGTGAGAAACAGAGAGCAAGGAATGACAGGCAGTGGCTGAGGCTGAGGCTGAGGCAGGCAGAACTGTTCAAGCCAAGTAAAGCCAGGGTCTAGCGTGCTGCTGGGGTTCTGCTCATGGTGACGCTCCTGTAGTCTTGAATGTTGGACAGCTCTCCACACACTATCCTATGAGATGCTCTGTTATACCCCCACCCAGTGTCATATCCCAGCTGTTGCAGGGAATATGGTGGGTGTGACCTATACACAGGGCCCACCTATCAGTTCTACTCAGTCACCCGTCAGTGCTAGAGCCTACTGTAGAGACTGTTTGGCACCCACCAACTCTTGGATCTCAGCTTGTCCCCCTGATACCTGTGCCCCTGTGTCCTGGGCCCTCATCCAGTGAGCTTGGCTCCAGTGGCCCTGCTGGAGGTGGGCAGAAATGCAGACCTCCAGGGATACGTAGGAACCATCCAGAAGGGAACCCCACTTAGGGAAAGGAGACTCGGAACCGCTATGAGTAGGCCCAATGGACACACCCCACCCAAGTCTCCTTATGCCAGCAGGCCTAGCATAGTAGGAGAGGTGGGACAAATGGGAGCCAGTGGGGGTTGAGGTACAGGCACTGCAAGGGTTAAACAGTGCCAGAGCAAGAGCGTATTCAGCTCGGGGGTGACAGGCCCACAAGGGGAAAGACCACATCCAGTCTTCTGGCTTTGGCTGTTGGAGGGTAGCCTTCCACTGTCTGCCTGGCTCCAACCCAATTGTAGTCATAGGCCTGCTCTGACCTAGATCCTGGTTCTCAGCTCTGCCCCTTCTAAACTCTACACTTCCTGGACCTGCCTGTTTCACCCAGTTTGTGCAGGTTCAGCTCCTCTCTTCCTGCCAGACAATATTCTTGGGCACTGCCTACTCCTAACCCTGCTCCTCTATGAGCCCCAAACCCTCTGGACTCTGTCCACTTCTGGTTCCAGCCCTCTCAGGACCCTGCCCCACCCCCCGCCCCAGCTGGCTGCAGGTTGCCAGCCAGCCTCAGGTAGCAGGTGGGCAGCCTGTTTACTCTCTCCCTCCCTCTTTCCATTCTGTGCTCCAGACACCACTAACTGTATGGAAGTGATGACGGGGCGGCTTTCCAAATGTGGTAAGAACCCCTCATGCTCACGTGGCCCCCAGCCTGCCACCTCCACTGCGTGCCCCCATAGCCTACCCCGATTAGTGCTGTCCCACTGTCCCTGGGCTGTTCTGGGCCCCCTGTGTATGCACAGGCATTGGACCACCCACCACCCCTGGGCCCCTTCTAACAAGAGTGGTCTTAACCACTCACTTCCTGCACCCCCCTCCCTATTTTTACAATGAAGCCAGGCTGAGGAGGGACTTCAGTGCTCAGAGCAGAAAAAGGTCCTTGTGCTTGACGCCAACAAGATTCCTATATGTAAAAGCATTACCTATATGTAGCACTGCTCTGGAGGGCAAGGTGGACACCTGTCTATAGACCATGCCAGTCAGAAGAGGAGGCTCAGCACTGGGCTCAGATTAAGGTCAGGTGAGGGCATGGAACTGAGGTCTCCAATAGGCACAGCTGATAGTAAACACAGGCCCAAGAGGGTGGAGGGTCACCTATTACTTCTGCCCTCCAGGACCAGAAACCCAGCTGTGGCTGCCTGTCCCCCAGCTCCCTGCCTGCCCGCCAACCATTCATTCTGTCTGTCTGCTGCTAAACTGTCTGTGATAGCCAGGGCCAGGTTCTCCCTGTATGCTGCTGGTCACTGGCTCTGGCCACCCTTTTTGAAAGCAATCATTACTCACAAAGCAGCAGCCAACCCCAGAGTCTGACTCAGCCCTGGTCTTTCCATTGCTATTTCTATACCTGGGGTTGGCTAGCTCACATGGCTCTGACACTTGGGAAGGGAGGCCCAGGACCTTCAGGGCTACACTGGGCGAGGGAGGAATCTCACTGCCAGTCCTGGGCCTCAGTTCTCAGAAACAGCCTCCAGGTCCCATGCTACTTTGAAGGTGTGGAGGATGCAAGGGTCTACCCCCACTGCTTGCTCCTGGCACCAGGAATCCCACTGGCCGCCTACCCATCCTGCTTGCTACCTGCCTATCCTTGCTCTGCCGTTCCATCCGACTTCATCTCGTTGGCTTTTTCTTTCTCTTGTCAAGGCCCCTTCGTTCATTTGTTTGTTCTTTCTCTCCTTCCCTCCCTCTCTCCCCTTCCCCCTTTTTTTCTTTTCTATTCTCTCTTTTTGTCTTCTGTTCTGTGTACCCAGGCACCCCATTGAGTAACTTCTTTGACGTAATTAAACAACTTTTTTCAGACGAGAAGAACGGGCAGGCGGCCCAGGCCCCCAGCACACCCGCCAAGCGGAGTGCCCACGGCCCCCTGGGTGACTCCGCGGCCGCTGGCCCTGGAGGGGACACCGAGTACCCGATGGGCAAGGACATGGCCAAGAAGGGGCCGCCCGCCGCCCACCGTGAGCAGCCTTAGACACTAGTCCCTCCCCAGCACAGCACAGCACTGCACAGCACAGCACTGACTGTGGCCTTCTGCCGCCCTGTGTGGACCAGGCCCCACCTGCCTGCCCAGAACTTGTCTCAAGCCTGGGAGGAAAGGAGAGTGGCCAGGGCGTGGCCCGCAGGCTGGGCTGCAGGGCTTGCTCTCTTTTCTCTCTTGCGGTCTGTCTCTGCCTGTCTCTGACAGCATCGCTTGTTTCCGCTCTGATACCAGGAATTATCCCGAAAAGTTAACATGTCACCTCCACGAGGCCATCCTCTGTGCTGCGTGTGGACACTGGCTGACCGAAGGCAGCTGCTGCGGACCACCCTCCCTCCTCCTCCTGCTGTTGCTGCTGCTGCTGCTGGGCAGAGAGGCTAGCCCACTGTCCACATCTCTGCCCGTTCCCTGGCAGCTCTGCATGGCCCAAAGGAGGAGGGCCTGACTCCCAGGGGACTCTTCTTCTAGCCCAGCCACCCTGGACTCCCAGCGACCAGACCCTTGACAGGGACAACCTGTCCACCATCTTCCAGGGTAGGGGACCATGGTGGGTGAAGCAGTGGGAATGGATTGTCCTCCAGGTCACATGTGGAGGCCTCCTGGGCCACTCGCTTCACCTTTTCCACACTCTGGCCTCACCAGGGCCACCTCTTCTCATCCGCATCCATTGCCCACCTTGTCAGGCTGCAGAGCTCCGGCTGTGATGGTTCTCTCGGGCTGACGTGGAAATAAGAGACCTGGGTACCCCAGAGCTGCCTGGGCTGGCCAAGCTGTGGGGGCTGGGCTGAGACCAGTATTATTTATTTGATATTTTAATTTATTGAGTTTCTTTATGTCTCTGTTCTCTGTTCAGGGAAGGGGAAGCAGCAGCAGCACCCTCCTGCCGTCTGTCTGTCTGTTCTGTCTGACTTGGGCAGGGTGGGTCCGGAGCCCAGGTTCCCTCTAAGGACAGAGCCGTTGCGGGGCTGGGAATGGTGGGGAGCCAGCCAGTGGATGCAGCACTGGCAAGCTACTGTAAACTTTAAAAGAATTCCTGCAAGATATTTTTATAAACTTTCTTTTCTTGGTTGTTTTTGGAAAATGGTGTGGGGTGGGGCCGCTGGGGCAGAGCTAGAGTTTGTGTTTCGGCTCCTCGCTCTTGGCTATTTCTATACACATATACATACATACATATATATATATATATATATTTAAAGAACGATGTGGTTAGCTCTGTCCCGGGTTGTTTTATTACTGCTTAGCAGCAGCTCCAGTTCCACACAAGGGCTCAGGATACAGGGCATCAGCTTGCACTGACCAGCTGTGCCTGCTTCCCGGAGGTTCTGCCCAGTACTTCTCTGCTGCGCCAGGCTTGAGGGTGATCTTGGTTTGGTGTCTGAGCGAGAAGCGGTAGAAGGCCCTGAGCTGGCACCCTACGCACACACAGGATGGCAGGGGTACCTCGGGGCCTTTTAAAAATTATAATAAAAGAGTTAAAACAAAACAAAAAAATCAAAGCCAGAAATGGAGTTAGCAGTGTGCTCTGCAGTGGGTTCCTCCTGGAGGTAGCAAGGGCAAGGGGCCCACACCACTGCCTGCTGCCCACCGAAGCCCATCTCACTTCCCTCATCCCCAGCTTCTGTCTGTGTTCCGTTCTGTCTGGCTAAGCCAGTCCCTCCCAGCTGGCCCAAGGTGCCCGGCGTAGCAGCAGGAGGGGCCGGGGGGCAGGTTTCATGCATGCCTTTGCTCTTCCCCTCATGTACAGATTTTAATGCTTCTATTACATTCAACCACCATAGGCTGGGATTCCCATACATAGGGCAAAATCAAACACCTGTAATAACAGCAAAGCCACGAAGTACAAGTGGGAAGGGGCTTATCCACGGAGTCAGGATACTGAAAGCAATACCTCTTGTTAGCCTTCCTTTTTTGTACTTTGGACACATGCGGATTCGCAGACATCACAGAAATGGACAAGCCCCATCTGGTGTAACCCCTGTCAAATAACTGTGAGCAATTTCAGTTCTGGAACAATAAATTCCTTCCGTAAAGACACATGATGCAAGGTCTCCATCCGGGATGGGCGGGAATGGGAAGGGCACAGGATGTCTGGAAGTGGCTCTTGTCCCCAACTTGTATCTGTCTGGGCTGTCCTCAGGGAAGAGGTCCAACCCTGGAAGGGGGTCTGTTAAACAGGCTGGGGTGTTTTCCTAGGCTCTTCCACCAAGGATGGGCTTCCAGTGAGAACCAGAGCTAGGAAAAGAGCAGTCTAGAGGCATGGGCTGGCAAGGAGCTCTTCTAGGAAGATAGCAGAAGTGACAGGAATGCTGTCTTCCTTATGGCAGTTCCAACATCACTCCAGATATGCCTAAGGTCACCTAGCACTTGGCCTTTCTCCAGGAAGAGTCCTTATCTTACTCCCTGCAACTAGCCAGGCTGCCCCAGCCTCATCACTACCTCTCTGCTGCTACTATATGGAGGACAGGTCTATTACCATGTCTTGAATGCTCAAGAGCCTGTGGCTGGGCAAGTCTCAGGAATCTGAGCATATTTCCCAGTCCATGAAGCTGTGCATTTCGCACACTGCTTGTTGGCAGAGCTCTATATATAGCACATTGACAGTGGAGGCTGATGATTCTGCCTTGTGCTGTAGTAGTTCATAGTATCCCTGGCCTCTGCCTAGTACATACCAGCTTTCTTCTACCCTTTTGGGGCTCTCTGACACTGCATGTGTCTCCTGGGGGAAGTGGCCCCAAATGTGGTCCTTCCCTGGAGCTGAGGCCCAGTTAACACACAATCTTACCAGAGAAGCCTAAGAATCAATTTTTCCTGGCTTTTGTGATCTAAGGGAAGCAGCTCTGCAGAATCAAGCTCAAAACCCAGGACAAGAATGCAACAAGCAAAGCCAAGGTCACCATTTGCTGAATTCTGGATGTCACTGTGCCCTCTAAGGAGTGGGGTACCCAGAAGCACTTGACAAGGATAAGAGACCAAGCTCCTATTAGAGCTTTTCAGTTAACTTTAGCTTGAAATGTGGGTTGGGTAAGGATTTGATCCAAAGGTGCCTGATTATCTGGTCTGGGTGCTAAGATGTCTTCCTGTGGTCCTGCTTCTGGTTTGCTAAGAGCAGCAACACCCCTATCCCCACCTAGTCTTCCTCTAGCTGGCCCACTGGACATGTAGTCTGCAGTCAGCCTTGGTGGACACTAAGAAGGCAGCTTATTTCAGACCCAGCAGCTTCCCGTTTGCACACTATTACACCCCCGGGGCTCACCTTCTATAATCCCACTCCTGACTGTTTATAAGGCAAAGCAAGCTCAGCCCATAATTCATATAAAAAAATAAATAGGACTATGCACATACAGCCTTATGCAGTTCACACTGAGTATTAAACCCACTGGTCTGCATGTTATTCTGAAGAAATTAAAATGAGGACTACCAAAAAGTAAATAAAAGGCCTTTAGAGGCCAGCCCCTGTCTCAGGACATAACTTTATTGACCCAGCAGTAAGTGTGTAGGCAGAACAGAGGGACACTCTGATGGCTGCTTCCCACCCCAGGGATGAAGCACAACCTGGCACCCTCAGGAAGAGATGTTCCTCTACTTTGATGAGCCATCTCCGGCTTCATGCTGCCTTCAGCTGAGCATGGCACAATTCCTTGAAGAGAGGGTAGGGCCTCAGAAGTCCTACAGGCCACTTGCAGGTCAGGCTGTTGTACAGCCCTGCCAGCACTTCAATGCCAGCTCACTATAGATGGCCAGCCTGGCTGATGGCTCCTTGTCAAGCATCCCATTCTCCTGTGACCCAATGCCCACTCCTCTACTGACACCATTCCATACCCACTAGCCTAGTCTCCTGGAAAGAGCAAACAGCAGCAGAGTGCCAGGGGATGGTGGTGGCCACCAAGGGTGTGATGCTGGAGAAAGACAAACTGACAGGTGAGGGAAGAGTGCTCCTACCTGGGGAGGCAACCCAGGAACTCCAGGCTGAGTCTATTCTACTGGCTGTTGTCCCTTCAACTGTTATGGACATTGTTTCAATCAGAGCCTGGGTCACCTCCATGACCATATTAGATGATTACAAACTTCATTCTACCTGTAACTCTATATCCTCTCAGTGCTAACATTCACAGGTTCCAGGGGGGAGGACCTGGGCATGTTTGATGTGCTAGGCATTGTTTTATCTCAGCCTGCCCATGGGCTACACTTAAACTTCCATCTCATATGCAAAATACTCATCACACCCCAAAGTCCTAATACCACAGTATCAAGTCAGGCCACAGACCTCATCTTCTTTGAACTCAGAAGCCTCAAATTACATTCTCTAAGTCAAAGCAGGGTGTTGTGTGTGATCCTATAGAAGCGTGTGCTCTATCCTAGGAATAATCTTTCTACACCTGCAGACCAATGAGCCAGACAAAGGCACTCCCAGCCGCAGAAGGGCAAACAGGTAGCCATGGCAGGGATCCTCTATGGCTTAGGGGTCTATCCCTGTGCCCCACCCAGTTTGTAGGGAAAGCAACATCCACTCCTTACTGCACTAGTTAGCTTCCCACCTGAGAACTTCCTGACTCAATAGCCTTTTGTTTCATCCCATCTCAGGACTTCTGATGAGATGCACTGTTCTCAAGAACCTCACTGGCCTTCTAAGTCTATCACAGACTCAATCCCTAAGACAAAAGCCTTGTCCACAAGTCCTTCTTTTGGCTTTTGGCCAGGGGGCTGACCAAAGGTGTCAGTAGCTGCAAACAGGCCACGCTAACCTTTCTGCCTTGCTGAGGTCCAAACAGGACCTCCCAGATTCATCTGAGCCCTATCTCTGGAGCATATTTTCCTGACAGTGAAGCCTGAGTGTCATTTGTCATTCACATAGCCTTAGTACTTCCCAGTTACTGTTAGCTCCCTGGTGGGCTACAGCTCTTCTGTCTTCTTTCCCTCAGAATACATATTGGCCTTTCATGCTGTTTGGAAACCTCTACCAGATACTCAAGTTGCCTGCTTCCAAATCCTGTTTCCCACACAGCTGTGCAATAGCCCAGCTACCTTCTGCCACATCTTATCTTTCATTCCCAGTGGCATGTCTTTATCCTGAGCCCTCACTAGCAGTACTGCTCACATTTGTATTTCTATTTATGAACAAGTCATAGCAAATGGAGTGGGTTTTCTTGGCTGCACCCTTTCCTTCCCTTCCCAACTCTCACTTGGTGGGTAGCACCACTGACAGCCATACTTCTGCTACCATTTAGGGAACCTCTGGGCATTCCACATGTGCCTTTCTATCAGCAGTCAGCCTTTGTCTGTTGCCCCAGGTTGGTTCAGTTCAACTTCACCAAATGTTGAATCCAAGATCCTGCCTCAAAGATCCACTCCCTGTACAGGTGAGAACACTACAGCAGGGACAAGGAGGCAGCAGAAGCCATCCACATGGTGGAGAGAGAGCACACAGAACTGCTCTGTGCCTAAGAGCATGGAAGCTGGACCCCAGCATACAGCCCAGCAGGTTGGCCGCCCTCACTTCATGGACAGCCTTCCAAAGGCTGTGATAACACCATGTGCTTGGAGGTCCTGCCATGCCTTCCTAGCAGACCAACACATACCAGATGCAAACCCCACTACTATCACAAGGAGAGGTGGAGGCATGCTCCACACAGCAGCTTCAGCTAGAAACCCATCTTCCTAGCAGCCAGCCATAAATCCTGTCTGCACTGGGCACCCTCCCCTCCACTGGGTGGCCAGGGCTACGGTAGCTTTGTTTCCCTGGGGAGCTCTAGTCCAGCTTCCTGCACCTGGGAGCTGAGGACAAGGAATTCTTACAGGGCCAAGCTCCACTGTGCCTCTATTGTCACTCCCCCCCCCCCAGGAACCCTCACTGGCACTTTCAGCCAGCTGAGGTCCAACCACAAGCTTCTTTAAGTCCTAGACATACAGTTGCATGAGCACCCTGTGGTTTCCACTTCAGGAGTCTGTGCTGAGACAGATGTAGTGGGCAACACCCAAGGGGCAGAGGCTCAGGTAGCTGGTGGGCTCCACTCCCAGGAACTAAGACAAAAGGCTTGGTCCAGGGAGAGGTATTTGTTCGCTTGTTTGAAACAGGAGCTCCCATGTGTAGCCCTAGGCTGGCCTCAAACTTACAATCTTCCTGCCTCAGGTCTAGGAAAGGCCTATGGAGAGGGAGTAGGACCAGGCTGAAGTCTCCATGTAGCCTGGAATTTTCTGGTAACCATCAGACAGGGAAGATGGTTGCTGAGAATGCCAGGAGAGGGCAGATGGGGTTGGTCCAGGTGTTCACAGGAACTAAGTTAATACGAGAGCCTCCAGTCTCAAGTTCAGCCTCCAGGGGCCACTGATGGTGCAGTAAGTGAAGAGCCAGAGGCCAGGCGAACACCAAAACCCAGGGAGGCCCCACAAGTTAAAGGAAACCTGTCTGGCAGAGCATCCCAGTTGTCAGCAGGCACAGCAAGTAGGCCGCCAGGATCCAAAGGCCTGAGTTTGTTGTCTGTGAGGACCAAGCCATAACCATGCCTGTCTCCTGGCCCCTATCCCTTTCAGTCCACTTGGGGCCAGGACCAGCTTGAGGCTTGAGCTTAGGCCTCATCCCCATTGAGGCAGCAGTCTGCCTCCTCCTGGACCCCCAATGTTAAGCCTCAGCAACAGGTCTGAAGGCCTCCATCCTCACTAAAGGAGTGAGAACAAGGTGCTTGCATTCTTCCCTTCCCAGGAACCTCAGGGAGACTCAGAAGAGCGATATGGAACAGCAGGCTGAGAGGACACAGGCGCTGACCTGAGTTCGTTTATTATGACTCAACAGATGAACTAAAGCAGGTTCTGCCTTTCACTGACAGCCCTGTTTCCACACAGGGCCTCAGCCAGGTCCTGGTGCTGCCCTGGCCCCTATGCACAAATGGGACCTCCGTGGGCACTGAGGAGGCAGCAAGAAGGGGTGACAGGGGCAAGCAGCAGGTATGGGCCCTCATGGGTCACCCCAGGCCTCTCTACCCCAGGGACTCCGAGCCAAGATCCAGGCAAGGGCTAGGGAGGGAAGCTGCGGGGCAGGCCTCTATAAAAGCCCATCCCCAAAGCACAGCAGAACTCCAGGTCTACAGAGCAAACCCCATAAGGGGAGACACCTCTCACAAGGTGCTTCTTTCGCCGCAGAGGTCCCCTGAGAGGGGGAAGGGGAGGGCAAGAGCCACATGGAAGACCCAAGAAAGGAAAATCCCACAGAAGAAAAATCAAAACATCAGTCCAATAAATGTTTGTTGAATGAATGAATGACTCCAAAGGCTCTTCACTACAAATAGCACTCATCCATCCAACAGGGAAGTCAGGAAACACGCCTTGACTCCAGCGGCATCCATGGAGCCCACACTCTGCGCAGCCCAGGGACCTCAGACCTTGCCACCAGCACGCCCCGGGGCATGTGTGCGCACACACAGACACACAGTTGTCTCTTTGCACATGTGCACCCATCTGGCCCTGGAGGCTCATCTCTCCTTCACATGGTTCTGTGCTCCAGAAGCTCCACTGCTGGCCCCATCCCCAGTGGCACCACTGTTACCCGGGCTGCTGCACAGCACCTCAGTGAGGTCGTCCATGACTGCGGTTTCTTTGGGGTCAAGCAGATTGAACTCTCTGGCAAAGAGGATGAAGTGCACGTACAGTGTGTTCAAGTGTCCGTGCAGCTCGAGGGCCAGGGTCTCCTTGAAGTGGGCCCAGTAGATGTGGCCCAACACATGAAACAGATACTTGCAGATCTTCTTCACCAAGGACTCGAACGAGCTGGGGAATTCTCTGCCTAGGGGGAGGCCACATGTCATAGACCTGCAAGGAGGTCAGGCTCCTACAACTAGGCTTTCTTGGATGGGCCTGAAATGCTCACACCTGCTACCATTCCTCCACAGAGTTCCCAGCAATCTGTCCCCCAGAGTGGCATGTGCCCAGAGTGGCAGGCACTGGCTAAGCTATGCTGGTCACCTGCACAGTAAATGGGCCCTCAGGTTCCATGCTTCCTCCAGCAGATACCCCAGGGCTATCTGTAGACAAAGTAGAGGAGCAATAACAAGTACATAGGAATCCCTGTAGGTCAGTGCTGGCCTTTTGCTGTCCAGGTTTAGTTTTGAGCCCCCATCAGGACCTTGACAGGTCTGGAAACACTAACCCCAGCAAGATGGACTGTGATGGCCTCATTGTGCAGAGCTGGTAGCAGGGACCAAATGGGGTTCCAGAGTGTAGGTGCGTATTTAACCGTAGCTGGGCTGAACCCTGCATGAGAACCTCCCTCCCTCATTAGCCCAGGTCCCTCTTGCTAAGCGGGAGCCAGAGTTCCAAAGTTGTGGCCCTTCTAGACTCACTTGCAATCATACCCCAGAGACTCTCTAGCCCAGTGCTGAAGAACCTCCTGGCTTTGCATAAGGATTTGGGTACAAGCTGCAAGAAACATACCGTATTTTGTAGGGAACACATCTTCATCAGTTACCAGCTTCTGCACAGAGCTCATGACAAAGTCAACATACTGGGGGGCGGTGCACTTGACCTTCTTCCCCCGCTCGTCATACCAGTAGTATTGTCTGTAGGGACAGAGACTTTGGTCAGGGTGCCAACCCTGCCAAATACCCGCCCCAATTCAGGCTCCCACTCATACAACACAAACGCAAATGCGGTAGAGTGAGGCAAGCTACATACAACTATTCCAATGGGACACACAAAGCACTCAGAATAGCATCTGAGGAGAGCAAGGGCCTCATGTACAGAATTGAGAATGAAGGGAGCCCAATGTGACACCTTCATTTTGCTTAGTTCTGCAGATTCTATTTCTTCTAAATAAATCTGTATTTATTTTAAATAAATCCCTTAAAATTAATCAGGCATGGGTATCTGTCTAGGAGATGGCCTGAAACTAGTCAGAGAGCCTAGATCCTTGGTGGTGTCCTAGTCCCAGAATCAGAAATCACTCTTTCCCCATGGGGAGTAGTGAATACTTAATCAATGAAGTGACCTGACCCTGGAACACCCACCCCGAACTCTTTAGCCTGTGCATGGGGTAGCCAATCCTCATAAGAATGCCAGTTCCTAGAAGACCAGCATCAGGGATGAGGAGATACTGGGTATATAGAGTCCCTGGGTCTTAACCATGTGCAGAATTACAGTCACTGTGTTCTTCCAAGAGGAGCTGGTGCTACACTTGGTGCACTGACTGCTGCCTCCTCAGGCATCTTCTTGGGAGAGCTTAGATGAAGGACTCATGCATCTCTCACAAGCCTCTGGTATCTGGTCTACTGTGGGGATGTCACACCACCTAGGTGCTCTGGATTCAAGAGCACAGCATGCTCTTCCAAGCTCCTGCTGAGGGCCTGTGATTCCTTCCAAATAGAGACAATTATAGACCACATTGTTACATATGTTCCCATGGTGAGGGTAGGGAGGGGTGTTCTGTGTAAACACAAGTTTTCATGTCTCTAAAGCAAAAGCCAAGAACAGGTTTATGATCACAGCAGGTCTGTGCATCATTTCATGAGAATGTGCCACCTGTACCTCACCAGTATGACATGTGCCTCCCAGCTCCTAGCATTCTGCAATATCCCATGTGGGTTTCATTTGCGCTTCTGTAACACCCCAGTGCTGGGTATCTTCTTAGTGGCTCACTGCCGTACTGTCACTGTGCAACCAGTCCTTCCCCATTCTTGTCAATCAAATGTCTACTTGTATGCTGCTGCACTGAGAGTTCTCTGCATGTCCTGGATACTAGTTCTCATGTATCAGATACCTCCCAGATGTTTCCATATAGTCTGTGTGTGTTCTTTCTCCTCATAGTTGTCTTTCTTAGAGTGACAGTTATGGATCATCATAAAGTCCAATAGGCTGAGTCCTTTTCATCAGTGGGCTGCTCCCTTGCCGTAATGTCCAATAGCCTAATGCTAGGTCAGATAAAAGCCTTGTATTTTCCCATTTCTGCATCAGGTGTGAGGCTTAAAGTTGAGGTACTTTTCTTTTCCTCTGTGTAAAGTTGCACTTCACAGCAGCAGTTATTGAGAAACAAAACAAAATTTCAAAGTACATACATAGCTTTTCATGTTCAAACTTTCTCCACTCAGTTTCATTGGCCACATCAAAGACTGTGCTTGAGTTTCCTTCTGGACTCTGCTCTGACCCACTAACTTTTGTCTCACCTCTGGGCAACACAACACTGTCCTGTCACTGTGGATTTTCAAATTGTGGGCCCCCTCCAACTACCCACTTCCATATAAATTCCAGAACACACTAGTCCAGTAGCTAATAGCTCTGAGGAGTTTTAATTGGGGATACATTAAACCACAAATTCGTTCAGCATAAATCTGTACATTCAGCTTATTGTTTTCCAATTCAATGTGGCTGTTCATGTGCTGTCTTTGACTCATGTCCTAGACTTCTGTGGTCTCCAGAAACAGAGCCCTGTGAATGCTAACTTTATACCTAAGCATTCTGTTGCTTCTGGAGCTATTGTAAATGGTTCTGGTTAGTTAGGCTTTCAATCACACACAGCTAGCATGCAGACCTGTGACTGTTTCTGTGTGCTTATCTTGCAATATTTATTTTGTTGCTGGACTCCTTCAGGGTCTCACCCCCCCCCCCAGAAGCCTAATTCCTAATACCATGACCTTGGGAGTGAGTATTCATTAAGTATTTGAGGATACACACACACACATACACACCAAAGTGTTTATTTGGATTGATTGGTGAGTGGCTAATTAATTTATGCTGAAATTCAACATTATGCGTGCTAGCAACTGCTCTGCTACTGAGCCACATCCCCAGCCCTGTTTAAAATCTTGTGAGACAGAATTCTGCCATGCTGTACAACCTAGAGGTGATCAATCCAGAGTAGCAGAGCTCCCATGGCCAGTACTCATGCGCTTCAAAAAGAGCTGCTCTTCATGAACCAAGAAGCTCTTCTCAGAACCACGAGAAATATACCAATGCTGTTAGTAGCCTCCATTACCAGCATTTGGCTATGGCAGTACAGACTGATAATGGTGAGTGTTTCTCACAGTGAGGCTCAGATTTAGTTCTACAAGAGTATGTTTATAAAAATCTCTTGGAAACTCTTATGCTCACATTGTAGTAGTCATTCATCTACTGGATTTACATTACCATTATTGGTTTTCTGCTTGCTCTGTTTTTATCTTTATACATCTATGGTCTTGTTGTATATGGGGCTATACCTCCCCACCCCCGACCTTTTTAACTATTCCATTTCAATTTACCCATTATGGTTCTGACTGTATGCTTTCATATCACTTTTGGAGTTGCTTAAAGAATTTCAAAGTACATACATAGCTTTTCATGTTCAAAATTTCACTCTGAATGTGGTATCAGCTGGGGAAATTGGTCACGAACAGGGAGTAGGCACCTCTCCCCTCTCACCACCACTGCTCGCACGTCCCTTCTCTGAACCTGAGAATGTATCACACTATACTTCCTTTCACCCTCAAATAACTTCTGAGAAAGAGCCCCAGAAAAAACTCTGTATTTCTCCTCCTCTTGCTGATTCTTCTTTTATGCTGTCACACAGCTCAAGAACTGGTTGGAACTCTTCTGCAGTAGATCATATACCTTGCAGTGGTCCATTCACTTGTGCTTCTGAAGGGCATGGCTGCTGGATGTGAAATAATGTGGAGTAATGCCTCTTCCCTGTGCCATGTGAAACATGGGATGCTTCCCCAAGTCCCACACAGCACTGCCTTGGATGCCACAGGGCCCTTACAGTGCTTGGTGTCTGAGCTATTTCACAGGAGTCCTTAAGGGTTCACTGAGCTCTGTCAATTTAAGAGTGTCTCTGAGGGACCTGTTTGGCCATGTTTCTAAATGTGTCCTGGCTCCCTAGATCCCAATGCCGGCCTTTTGGGGTTGTCCTGCAAGTGCTGCAAGAACAGAAATGAGATCTAGCCTAATGCAGATCCTCTCCAACCTAGGCTGGTGCACAGCAAGGAGTTCTGTGGATTTCTGACTAACCCACTTTCCCTTTTAAACTGATTGTGAGTTCTCAAAATCCCTTGGTCTCACATGATTCCTGCAAAGGGATTATAATAGGAATTATTAAGTGATTCTGAAAAGTGAGCAAATGGCAAACTTAGCTGCCCAGGTTCTCCAGCATGCACTGAATGCAGGTCTGTACAACACTAGCTCCTATGTTCTCAAGAAAGCTTTTCCCAAACAAATTCAGTTCTGAGAGGCACATGGGAGAAGCTGGGGAGGGTACCATGCTGTTTGATACTATTTAGGCTATGCACATGCTCTCATGTGCTATCTCAGAATCTGACATGGGTCTGTCCTTCAGAGGCCACACCTCTGTTAAACACACACACCAAGTTTGTTTCCAGCAAGGCTTCTCACCTTCCCTGGCAATGCTTAGCTGACACCTGGCCCTCCTGCGGAAGAGAGCTGGCTTTATTCCCCCTACCTTGCCACAAACTGAGCTATAGCCACTAGAGCTGTGTGAGCAGGCCTGAGACAGAGGGACTCCTGTCACCTGCTATACCAGGACTTACAGCAGACTCCTGAAAGCAGAGCTGTTATCTGGAGAAATCTGTACCTACTGGGAGGACTGTTTGAGTGTACACACACACACACACACACACACACACACACGTAAGTATACATGCGCATTTACCTGTGTCCACAGCATCTCATTTACCTGTGTCCACAGCACCTCGAGAAGTCATCATGAAAGATCTTCCACCTCCTTGATCACATTCACCCTAGGCTGAGCCCTGCCAAACTCAGCCTTCTGCCTGCATTAGCACAGCCACTCTTACCATCAACCCAGAACTGCTGGCAAATGTGTGCCTCCCAATGGCTTTCCTATGCACAAAGCAAGGTGAGTTTTCTTGGAGACCCTGAAGAAACCTGTATACTACAGCACTGAATGTACATATATATCCAGAAGAGAGCTGTAAGCACTAGACCTATTCAGAAGTTGTCAATAGACACCTCTACTAATTAAATAAGCCTGCTCACTTAGCTGTGTAGCTCCTAGGACACTGTGCACTCTGCAGGCTCAGGGACCATCTAAGCATGGTCTGCCTCTGGCCTCTGATGGCTCTTAGCATCTTTTATGTCCCAGCAGAGATACTCATGCTGGGCACCTGCCTAGCCTGAGATTGTGCAGGGATTCCAGTTAAGAATGGAGTCCAAGAAGCTAATAGCCAGGACAGCAAGGTCAACCAGAACCCATCCCACACTCCCAACTGGTGCTATGGCCAAGCTGCTACTCACGTGTTGCACACAGCCATTGTCTGACACGTCTCTCCTGTGCAAAATTCTGAGATTGTGCTATACTGCAGGTTGATGTGGTGAAAAAATGTTGTTGCTGGAAGAGAAGCAAAGGGCCAGGTGAGTAAACACCCCTGCTCCAGCTGGCATGACAGGGAGTGGGTTCAGCTGAGTTCAGCCTGTCCATGGACCACTGCTCTGGGGGTACTTGGAGATGGGGGAGGCTCCCTGCCCTGCAGCTGCTGCACCCTCCTCCCCACCCACACGCACTGTTGCTGGCCAGCCACTCGTTGAGGTCGATCTCCCGGGGCAGCACTACCAGCTCCTTGAACTCAAAATCAGTGATCCTGGACTTGGTATGCTCTGGCTCCAGGTACACTTTCTTCTCCTCTGAAGCAGTTTTCTTGCCGTTTGGCTTAGCTTTAGATTTCCTGCCAAGAAAGAAAGGATGTCATGGATGACAGAGAGACTGAGGAAGGACCTGCACATTGGGCTAATTAAGTCAGATGCAGGCAAGGAGAGTGACCACGAAAGGCCAAACTGCTCAGGGCTATTGGGTAGCCAATCCAAATGGTCATGACTTTATAAACATCCTGGGAGAAAGCACCATAGATGTGGGCTACAACATGGGTGTGACAGCAGGGGGCAGCACCTGATGCCTAAACCATAAACCTCTTTCAAAATCTGCTCTTTCAAGGTTCTTAAGAAAGTTCTGAATGTATAAGGAAGTGATTTAAGGTAATGAAAAAATGCTCCAGATTTCTCTCCCCCTCTATGCTATTGTTATATTAAGATTTCAAAGGTTCAGGAAACCTATACCCAACAGGTCAACCAGACTACTGGAGACTGTTCACTAGCAGGCTTCCAAAAGGAGATACTTTTCCCTATAATACCTAAATCAATTTCTAAAGCACTTGTCTTCTGTGCTTGTTTTCTCTATGATTAAACTAGAGATTACTGTCGACACTGGCCAGATACTTAGGGAGACTGGCTTTATTGGTCCTGTAGGAGACATGATGCATATTCAGAATTCGGAATCTTTTATATGTTAATTAAGAACACATGGCACCCTAGATGGGGGTCACTGGTAAACTTTACTATAGTATTTATCACAGCTGTTCATCAGGCACCATCAAAATACAGAGGGTACACACCCCACTCTCAACCCATAGGTATAAACATAGTAGAAGAAACAGTTCAAAGGTCCTCAAAGGTCCTTATATCCCTAATATCACCTCCCTTAGACAATACTGATCCCACCTTCCTGTCACACTAGCTTTTGTTTCACACCTTAATCTAAATTATCAGCTACTGAATAACACTCTATCTGACAGCTTTGAAGAATGTTAGCTGTGTGTCCCTCCTGGGTCAAACTCACAACCACCATTTGTGGCCTTGCCCATTGTCTTATTAGACACTCTCACTTTGCCACTCATGAACTGCTCTAAGCCAAATATTTCTACCACATCCCTAACATCACAGATTTAACTCCTCAGGAAGACACTGGATTCCTCAGAGTGCAGTTATATCTTAACCCTTTGCACTACCACCCAGACCCTATGCCCAAAAATATCTTGATTATCTGCAGCATTCAAGTTTCCTACCCTCTGGGGTTGTCTGGGAATTGAGCCCTTGCTTCTTTTTTCCAAAACTAGGGGTGGTAGTACCCAGTGAAGAACCTTTGCCAGTTCACATCGCAGGGAGTGATTCAGGTCCTATGCTTTCTCAAGTCCTGGGTATAACTACTGGCACTGCCACTGAGGGTGGTGGGAGTGACTACTTTCCTAGCTATTTACCATCAGTTTTCCCCTAAAGTTATCCCATTATCTCTATTGAGTGGCTCAAACCATCCTTACCCTCCAGGGCCACTGTAGTGCTACAAAACTGGCAAGGGTTAGATTTACTAACTTCAGAGAGAAGTGGTCTTTGTCCCTTCCTCAGGAAGGAATATTGCTTCTATGTCAACCAGTTGGGTATAGTAAAAAATAAGATCTGGCAACTCCAGATGGATCTCCAAAGCTGTAAGAAACAGCTCGATGCCTCTAGCTAATAAATCATTAACAGTCCAATATGGAATTGGACACTACTCTTTTTAACCTCCTTTTCTTAATCATGCCTTATAAACTTCTTGTCTAGATTTCAGCAGATCCAAAAAATTTCTAATCAGTCTTTGAGTCAGTTGCTATTACAAGATTACTGGCCCCTAGCTACAGAGCTAGAGGCCTACAACTCCTGATTATACTCTGATGGTGAAGATCAAGCTTGCCCAAGGACTTAGATGCCCCCATTCAACAGGAAGTAGTCTAATAATGTTAGGCCCCTTCCTGACCCGTTTATCAATTGTAAACAAAGAAAAGGGATATGTAAGCCCCTTGAGGTACATGAGTGCCAGGTCCTGCCCTTGTGGATCTCCAATAACTAGGCCCCACACCAAAGAATACTCTAAGGGCTGAGCCCAGCCCCTGAGATCCTCCAACCAACAGGTTCTGCCCAAAGAACACTCTAATTGCCATGATGGCTTGACCTGAACCCTATAAATGTAGGTGGCCAAGCTTATTCCTATAGAGTAAAAAGCCCAAATTCAGGGCTTGAAATCCCACCAATCCCTGAGCTTTCACCAAGCTCAGAACTTGAAATCCCACCATTCTTCACCTTGAAAAGTTCTGTTCCCCCAAGAAACACAATATCAATAGTTGCCAACCTTCCTAATGCTATGAACCTTTAATAAAGTTCCTCATACTGTGGTGAACCCAACCATAACATTATTTTCATTGCTACTTCATAACTGTAATTTTGCTACTGCTATGAATCATAATCTGATGTGCAGGATATCTGACATGCAACCCCTGTAGAGATTGTGGCAGCAATGAGTCTGTGTGCCTTTGGTTATCGGTGAACAAGCTTCTAGGTAGACACTGGGATAAGGTGTGCCCCATTGGCAATGACTACCTGGCAGAAGACAGATGTTTCTGCTGAAACCTAGTTAAGTCCATGCCTAATCAGAAAGGCTCCCTGGTGAGTTCCTCAAAGAGTCTGTAGCTGTTCCTGACCGGCCATGTCAGACCAGCACACTGGACGTCAGGTGAGCACTGACCACACAATGCTAGAAACAAAGGAGCCTCTAAGATCTCTGAACTGCCAGCTGGCACCCACACATGTCTGACATGTTCAGGCTCAGGATGAGAGTACTGGGTGAGAAGTCTGAGAAGCACAATGACTGTTCCCACAGCAAAGCTTAGTCTTGTCCTCACATAATCAAAAGAATTCTTCAGTGGTGAACATTCTGACTTTTAAAATGTAAGCAGTAAATTGATACTGGCATGAACTCTTATGATCAGAAAAGGGTGCTTTGGATCAGAAACTTTCAATATGGGATTCAGTGGGAGGATCAAGGACAGGAACACAAGCCTTCTTTAGTAAGAAGGAGCACTGGGCTATACAGGGCCTACAACAGACCAGGGGATTAAGGGGAGGAACAGATACAGCAGAGGGGTCCTCTGTCCCAGAAGCAGTCTCCTTAGAAGTGCCCATCCTGCTCCAAGGGAAGAGGGGAGCAGCCAGAGCACCCAGCAGGAAAGAATAGTGTGTTAAAGGTATAACTCTAGGGTCATGGCCTCCTAGCAAACAGGAGGACTGGTAGGGGTGTGTGCAGGAGTTGGCCTCTGGCTTAGATTCCTACCATGCCCACTCCAGGTTAGCCCTGCCTGTCCAGATGCAATACAATGTAGGCTCCTAGCCAGGATACCTCTTAGATACCTTTCTTTTTGACTTGAGAACATAGGCAATTAGGCCAGCTACCATGCATGGCATCAGGAGGCAGCCTGGCTTGGCTCTGAATCCTGTCTTCCACAGCCCTGGGAGGCTAGATGGGGGTGGGGTGAAAGGTCTTTCTAACTGGCTGTGACCTATTTTTTCCTTTCTTTGCTGATGGTTTATTTAAGAGAAAGAGGAAAGAAAAATGTTCCCTGAATGCCAGGGAAATGTTTTCCTTTCAGCTTCTCATGGCAGAGCTTGGCCTTAAAAGGCGATGTGAGCTTGGCCTCCGGGGCAGGGCCAAGAGCAGCCAGAACCAGGCAGTGGACAGGGCAGGGCACAGCTCAGCCTTGAGGCTCCAAGCACAGCACAAGTTCTAAGAGAAACAGCATGGAAGTCTGTTAGGGCTGAAACACAGGTGTGGATGTAACATACGGAAAGTGGGCACTTCAAGCCCCTCTGGCATGGGTTTTCTGAGCTTTGTAGCCCAGCAGTGTAAGTTCCTGCCTCTCTAGAAGTTGTGGACAAACCCCAGGAGGGGCTCTGACATTGTCTCTGGGACATAGCCACTCTTGTCCTTGACCTTTCTCTGAACCCTCATCTTCCCTACAGATGTGTGCTGAGTTCACCAGCTATTCAATCAGACAGCAGAGTTGGGCTTCTCTAATGCTGAATCAGGCCTGTAGTGTCCTCAAAGGTTAGGTTTTCCTCAAGACTACCTTCTGTCGTCTGTGTACCCTGTCCTGGAAGCTAAGACTACAAAGAAAGGGGCTGGTGAAAGCACCAAGCTGTCAAGCCACTTCCATGTTTTGTGTCTTGAATGATCACCTGCAAGCTAAAGGGAATGAAAACAGACAACTAGGAAGAGCTACTGATAGGAAACAGCCATCACCATGGCTCCTGAGCACAGTTCAGGACCCATTCAGGGAGGGTGTCTTCTAATAGCATCCTGCCCTCACTCCCACTCACAGTCACAAGGGAGCAGATAGTTCTTTCATGCAGAAGCTACTCCCCAACCCTCATAGGGAAAAGAGTTCCTGAAAGGTCTGCCTCATTTTGTAATGGGCCACAGGGGCTTACAATGAAGTCACAAGGCGGCAAACAGACACAAGCATGTGTGCACCAGGCCCTACACCTTCTCTATTTCAGTCACATCCCCCATTTAGCTGCTGTCCCCATCACAAAGGGCCAACCTGGGCCCAAGCATAGTGCACTCTGGCACACTCTTGCCAACCTAAGTTCCTCAGTCCTAGTCAAGAGGCAGCCCAGGGCCCAGGTTCTGCTTGAGGAAGAATGTGGTAGATGCTAGTGGAAGGGCTTCTACAGGACATCAAACTCCCCTTTCCCTAAATGAGTGGGGCTTTAGCCAGGGCACTAGACTCTTCTAGATGACCAGTTCTAGGTCCTTTGACAGTGTTTATGTTTTCACCTGGTAGGATGAGCAAACAAACATCTGGGCTCTGAAGCAAGCTAAAGACACCATGGCATCAGTGGCTGGCCATGCCTGCATACTAGCTTGAGGCTCTTCCTGTTTCTCTTATAACACTCACCACTGTTACTCACTCATGTGTAGGGAGAACTACACAGAAAAGACCTTGAGTGTGGGCAGCACAGAAATTATTACAGGAACTAGGAAGTCCAGGCATCACCATATCCACAGAGCTGCTATGAGCTTCTGGGAAGACATCCCCAAACCCCCTCAAAAGTGAGGCTTAGGCTGGTCTCCAATGAGCAGGGGGGCTACTCATAAAATATATAACCCATATTTTATCCTTGTCCTGTGCATCATAATCTGTATATCATTAATATCTACTTTAGAGGTATCCAGGCTCTACCAGACTCATACACCTGGTCCTAGTTGGCAGTCTGACCTCTGAGAAGCAATAGAAACTTGGAGATGGGGGGGGGGGGAGGGAGAGGGACAGAGAGAGAGGGGAGAAGAGAGAGAAGGAGAAAGAGAGAGAGAGAGAGAGAGAGAGAGAGAGAGAGAGAGAGAACACAACCTCTGCGACACCTGTGGTGCCAAGCATGAGGCTGGGGTGGTTGTGAGTGTTAGAGTGGGAGCCAGGCTAGCAGCATCTTTCTGGGACCAGGATGGTAAGATGCTATGTCTCTTGCCCTTAAGTGAGGCTTAGCCCCCATTTGGCATGCCATCCAGGTTTCCCCAGCCTCTACCTCAACATAGACGCTCACAAAGTAAAGTGCTTCAGGAAAAGGATGCTCAGACTTGGGAGAGGCATACATAGCAAGGCAAGAGGATGGTGGGAAAGGGATACAAGAGTCTTATGGCAAAGTGCATCATTCTAAGGAAGTAAGAAACATTAAGTGGATATCTCAGACCTCTAGGGAAATTGAGGACGTTTTTGTTTCCCACCCTGCCACCTGACCAGTCCCAGCTGGGTTAACATTGAGGAGCTAGAGAGAGTGAAGATTTAGCAATGAGGGACCAGAAGTTAAGATCTAGAGGCCTGTGATCAACATTAAGGAAGGAGATGCTAACACTGAGGGCTAGGCAATAACATCAGAGAAGAGGATAGCAAGGGAGGAAGGGCATGAGGAACTTGAAGATAACAAGCCCTCCCAGGCCAGGACTGAGAAACATTACTATTAAGGCAGAGTGCAGCTTGATGCTAAGATGAGAGTAGTTTGACTGGGCACTCCCACACTCCTGGTCATGGCAAATGTCCGTGCTAAAACCTACTCAAAACACCAACTCCAAGCCTATAATGATAACTTTTCCCATCACTGTAGAGCCCCTCACAGCCAAGCCAAATACCCCCAGGCTTTCCCCAGCCCCTCAACAGCTGGTCCCTTACCACTGGACTGTGAGTATAGGAAGAATACTCACCCCCTGAATGCCATCTCTTCTGCAGCATCTATCTGGGCCTAGGTCTCTGCGGGACCGGAAAATTTCATTTCTAATATTGGGAAGCTCATATGTGGACCAAGTCCTCACTAATTCCACTGCACAACACTTGGCTTCAGAAACCAAGATGGGAAGACCCTCCCAGTCCCATCTTAATCCCTTAGCACCACCTCACTACACAGGTTGGGCTAGGGTCAGGGAAAACATCCCTGGAGCTCTTTCTTAAAGAATATTTGTGTCCCCTATCCAGAAAGGTTAGTACCCCTAGACAAGGCACACTTTCACTAGTGTCCTTGACCCAGTAAAAGACCCACTCACTTGGAGAAGGCAGAAGAGAGACAGACACATCAGGGCTAATGTATGCCTAGACAGTACCTACTTATCCTACTGAATTCAGTGTGATCCTCAGGAAAGTCAGGCTAAGATGTCTCCCAATGGGACCTTCTCCAGTGTAGGCAGCCAGGAGTCACTGGCAGGTGAGTGACATTCTTTAGCCTCCCCTGGAGCCGATGGTGGTATCTGCTATCCACACACATTAACATGTACATGGCTCTCCATGTACTGTCAAAGTCAATAACATTCTAAATTAGGGCAAATGATGCCACCACTTTGCTGACATTCCTGTTCAGATACTCAGGTAATGATGTGGTGGCAATGGCCCAGGGGAGCAGGTAGGGTCAGAGATGACCAGGGGAAGGCAGGTCACACAGGCATCCCAAAACTCATCAGCCACTTGAAAGGAGCCACCATAGGCTGGATTCATGTCAAAAGCCTCATCAAGAGTTCTGCTTTGGGAGCTCACAGTTAAAGTAGGCACTGGAAAAACAAATGCTATTTACTTTCATTTTAAATAATTTAACAGCCCTACTTGGCATGGCAGCACACATCTTTAATCCCAGCACTCAGTAGGCAGGGACAGGCAGATCTCTGTGAGTTCAAAGCTAGCAGGTCTTCATAGAGAGTTCCAGGATAGCCAAGGCTATATATTAAGACCTTTTCTCAAAGAAAGGATAGGAGGGAGGGAGGCAGGGAGGGAAGAGAAAAGGGGGGATGATCTATTGACTTAAGAGGTAGACGTAAGATTTCTGCACTGAATGAAAACTGATTGGACCCTAAAAAGGAATGCCTCTTCCCTTGTGGCTGGGGAATAGCCTCAAACTGCCTTGAAACTGTCACTCCACCAACAACTTGCGCACACACCCTCTCACCCATCCACTCGCATTACACACACACCCCAGGCTTGGGGAAAGTATACCACTGCAGGTCAGAAGGCTGAAAAGTTTCCTGGCAACACCAGTAGCAGCTAACATACAGCAGGCACCTGGGGTATATACCATGTCACTTCTCTTGACACTCAAGGACAGGCTCCAGGAAATCCTCGCTTGAGTAGACAAGGCCCATGCTCAAGAGACAGCCCTGGCCAAAAAGACACAAGCCCAGCCAGACACACTTGCTGGTGATAAAGGCCACTTATTGTCCAGCACTCTCCAGATGAAGCAAGGCAGAACTCCAGTCTAACACCAAGAAAGCCACACATAGCAAAAGTCTAATGCAAACAGCTGCTCCTGGGCAGCATTCAGTAAGCTCAGTTGCTAGGCTGGCCAGGCTACATCAACTACCCCAGCACCAGGCCCAAGGGCAGCACACCCACCCCATTGCAGGCTCAGCACAGCAGGCTGCTTTGCTGAAAAGGCAATCAGGGACACAGCCAACTGCCTCCCAGGCAAACTGCCTTTGGGCTGGCTGTTACCTGAGCACTTTGCTGACAGCCTGAAGCACCATTTTGCAGCGGAGTCCAGTTTTTGGGGGGTGGCTGAGCAGAGTTTGCTCTGAAGGGAGACTGCAGTGCTCTCCAAACATGATGTGGGGAGTGCAGAGCTGGTGAGGGAAAGTGAAGGCCAGGCAATGCAGCTCTGGGCTCCCTCCCTCGGAAGTGCCCTCCGCCCTTGCTCTAGGCCAATGAGGACCACAGTAGAGACAAACAGCTGCTCCCTTTACACAGCAAGGGCCGCCCAGGCTGGCGAAATAGGGGAGTGCCTGAACTTTCAAAGTGGTAAAGAGCTGGCTGGGCAGGGTGGGATCAGCAAAGCCAGAAGGGAGGAGACAGGGCAGACACAGCAGTGGGAAGGGCCTTTCAGAGAGACACCTGGAGGACCTCCCTTGCCACCTAGGCCTAGGGCTGAACACAGCCCTGATGAGTGAAGCCTGGAAACTAGCAGGCAGGCAAGGCTTCTTCAGCAAGCACATGCAGGGCAGGGATCAACAGGCCATTAGGCTTCCTCCAGAGTAGGCACTACTGTTTCTACTCTGCAGGTGAGTTCCAGACAAGTTTTTTTTTTTTTTGGATAGGGCTGCTCCTTAGGCCAGGACCACTGACTATGGCATCAAAAATATCTGGAACGTTTCATGGGTACCCAAATTGTGTAGCCAAAGCCTTCTTTATGGCTGTTCTGTACATAGGAGACTGCCAAGCCTTAGAAATCAAATACCTGGGAGTGGTACTCCCACCCCATCTCATCCTGGATTCCACTGCAGTGTCAGAGTAGTCAATATGGACTGATAGGAAGGTTCTGCTCCACAAGCTCCACTATGGTTTGGGTATGGGCCAAGCTCCCATGCTCCTGCCAATCAAGACAAGGGCACTATACAACTTTTCCACATCGGTGACAGGTATGAACCAGACTTGAGTGTTTTATGTTTCCCCCAGTGCTAGACAGAGGCTGTGGGATGAGAAAGGAATACGGCCCTCTCTTAACCTCCCACCAAGGGTACCTACATGACCTGTCTCTGAGCCAGGAGCTCTGGCTGTCTTGGCTGGGATCCCTGCAAGGTCTCCACTGCACAGCATCTCCCTCAGGAAGGAAGAGGCCATAGGTGAGTAGGTGATTGCTGAGAAGCTTGATCCTCCTTCCTGGAGGGTGGTCTGGTTACAAAAGGCTGAGCTGTTGAATAATACACTTCCTGGGAGTAGTATAAAAAAGTGCTGGATATGTAAAGAAGCAGAAAAACAAACCATGACCAGAAAAGAAAGCCAGTGCAGACTCAGAGATGCCAAGGATAGTGAATAACTAAACCCCATAAGCAGGTTATGTGTAGATTTTTAAAATTTAAAAACAATATCCAAATGAACAAGAACACACAACATGTAAGTCAAACAAACGGTCACACTGAAATGAGACCCTAGTGACACTGAGAAGGCAGGGCAAGCCAGTCAACTAGCTAAAGAGCAGACAGAAGGCCAGAACCCAAAGGGGCATCCATGGTATGTAATAATGAAGACATGAAAGAGGATGGGCCAATGGTGCAAGGCTTAAAGTCCTGGGAGGGGATTGGGATAGAAAAGCATCAAAAGATTTACTCAGGGTAGTGACATGATCCAATCTATGCTCCTCACAGGTTTCTCTGGTTCTCTGGTGGCATACTAAATGGGGATAGAACAAGAAATCGGGGCTAGCAGATTCTGCAAACATTGAGGATCGTGGGGTGGCTAGAAGCACTTGCCCAACATGCTCTGGAGATAGCACCAGGGCCTGACAGTAAGCTTGGTATAGATAATGGAAGAGATGGCATCCAGTATGGCTTCTAGCAACCTGTATCACTTTATTCTGTCTTACTACTAATAATAAACTGAAGTTGGGTAATCTTTTTTTTTAACTTTTTTTTATTTATTCTTTGTGTCTTTCATGTCACACATCCCGATCCCACCCATTTCCTGTCCCCTCACATCTGTTTTCTATTCCTACAACCTCCCCCTCCCAAATAAAAAATAAAATTTAAGATAAAAAGGGGGGAAAACCGAAGAAGAGGAAAATCTCATCATGGAAACTGTAGTGTGACACAGTGAAATGCACAGTAAGTCCCTTTATCCATACATCTTTACATGCAGGTATTCATTACAAAGACTCATTGGTTTGGTCCGAGGCCCCTGTTCTCTACTACATTATTGACACTGGGCCCTAACTGGGACTCTTCCTGGACATCCTGTTGCTGCCCTGTATCATGAAGATCCTGTAGCCCTGGGTGTCCAGGACCCCAACACCTACGCTCCAACAGTCCAGCAGATCAGATAGGATGGATATTGGGGTAGGCCAACACTTAACTCTAGTTCCAGGCCTAGGTAGTTGCAGGGTTGGACAGTCTGAAAACTAGGTAATCTTAAAAAGAGGGTTTGTTTAGTTTACAGTTCTGAAGTTCAACAGCCCCCCATTTGGCAACTGCCTAAAAATAAAAAACCTAAAATATTCCTTTTTATTTTTATTACTTTTTTGTATGAGTGTTTATCTATATGTATGTCTGTACCATGTGTTTATCTGGTACCCATGGAGGCCGAAAAAAGGCATATGGTTCCCTGGAACTGAAGTTACAGATGGTTGTGAACTGCCATGTGCTGGGAACCAAACTCTAGTGTTCTGAAAGAGTAACCAGTGCTCATAACCACTGAGCCATTTCTCCAGCTTCATATCAACAACCTTTTTACTGACTGAAGCCCAAGGTGTCATAGGGTATCACATGGCAGGAAATGGGGAGAGTATGTCAGTGTGGCTTCTATTCTTATTTAGTCAGTAGAACTGTATCCTAGGGTTCCAATCTGAGAGATTTCTCTAATTCTAATTACCAACTGAAGCTCCTATCTCTGAACACCATGGTAAGAATCAAATCTCCACTGATGAACATCTCACAATGGAGATTGAAGTCAACATATAGGCTCCTGGGGGGCATACTCAAACCATATGCAAACTACAGCAGTATCTATCAGAATGGCTAAAACAAAGTTCTGGTATACCAGGCCCAGTCTGTTGGGACACACCTGGTCAGGCTGTAGGAGCTATTTCTCACAAATCGCATGCCTGGGGAAATGACCTTCTTAGAAAGAAATCCAGAGTAACCAACAGCAGTATCCTATTATCCTCTGCTCAGTCCTGCTGGCTTCAATAGCTCCCCATTCCTTCCTGAGTTATGAGAGCCTGCAGAATTGGAGGCAACTCCCAAGCAGTGCATCCAGAGCGCCAAAACTGGGCAGAAGGAGCACTGCCTGCCCATTGCCAGAGAGCAAGAGCTCCTGGGGGAGTGTGTTGTCCCAGTCTCCTGGCAGGCACTCCTCCAGAACCCAGGCGCTCGAAGCAGTGAGTAAAGATGAGTGTCCGTTCTGCTTACTTCCAGAACAAACTTTCAGTGTTATGCCACAAGGTACAAAACTACCACAGGGGGCTGTACCTTTCCTGCTGGGGAAGGAGGGCTCCCTAAGACCCCCACTCAGCCTCCTCTATGCCTCCAACCTCACCTTCATGCAAGTACTTCATCTACCCTATGTGACTATAGTGAGAGATTCTGTATAGCAGACCATCCCACTCAGGGGCTTGGTCTGTCAGCTCTCATTAGGGGGAATGGGTAGCCTGAGTAAATGGAAGGGTGGAGGTAGCCAAGATGACTACAGCAGTAACTGGAGACCCCCATGGAACTTCAGGATATAGGGCTTCACACCTGCTCTGCTAAATGGTATCCTTTAGATAGAGGGTATTGGGCCAGACCCAAATCCTGCTGCCAACTAGTTGCCAATACCAGAGTAACTTTAGGCTGGACTGTGTAGGAAAGCAATGCTCTCTGTAGGGGTCAGGAAAGGACACCAAGCAGTTGCTTTCTGACAACTTTATACAAACTGCAGGTTGAAGTTCTAGGAAAGGGGCAGAAAGCCACTCCTTGGGACCCCTTCATATGACTGGCAGCACAAGAATTGGCACAAGGATTAAGAGATGGCTTAGCAGTTAAAAGCATTTGTTTTTACAGAGGACTTGAGTTCAATTCCTAGGACCCACATGGTAGTTCACAGCTGCCTGTAACTCTAGTTCCAAGGAAATCCAAGGCCCTCTTCTGATCTCTTTGGGCACCAGGCATACATAGGAGGAAAGTGATTGTATATAGAATAAAATAAACTTAAAAAGTAATTTTAAAAATCAGCTAAATCTCATCTTGGGAGGGAGGGAGGGAAGAACAAAGAGGCACAGACACATTAGTTACTAACATAACCCCCAAGACTACTGGAGAGAAGAGGGCTCATACAGGACCCCTGGAACAGACTGCTTTCCTTTCAGCCTGCCCTTGGCAGAATAAACAAACAAACAAACAAACAAATTTGACATCACCAAAAAATAATTAATGGAGAAAGCTGTCCTCTTTTCAGAGCAAAAATGCACTTTTGTGAACTTAGGTCCCAGAACCCCCAAATGGCTCCTGATGCCAGCAGACACCTAGGTGGGGGGTTCAACAAGACTGCCTAGAAAGGAGCTGCACACACCAAATGAGAAGACTCTACCTAGCACCTGTCCCAAAGAAGAAATGTAAGGGCTCTGATATGGTTGGTGTTCTTACAGACATTGTATAAACACTGACTCCTAAGGTTCAGGAAGGAAAACGGAAAACAAAGATCTTTTTCTTTTTCTTTTACCAATAGCAGCTGGCACAGAGCTAGAGCTGAGGAGAAATATGTGCCCATCAGAAATGCATACACAGATCCTTGCATCTCAGCGCATCTCCTTAACCCTGTAAGAACATCAAAGCAGGTATTTCCATACCCACAGTGGGTACTTTAAAAAAAGATTCACTGCTGGGCGTTGGGTGGTGGAACACACCTTTAATCCTAGCACTTAGAAGGCAGAGGAAAATGGATCTCTGAGTTTGAGGCCAGCCTGGTCTACATAGTGAGCTCTAAGACAACCAGAGCTACATAGAGAAACCCTGTCTCAGAAAAACATAACAAAACAAAAAGACCTACACAGATCTTTTGTCCAAATTTCCTCTCCTGTTGCTGTGCTAAAATACTGGACAAAAGCAACTTTACAGGAGGTGGTGGTTTGAAAAAAAAAAAAAAAAAAAAATGGCCTCCAAAGAGTGTGGCAACATTGGGAGGTGTGGCT